AATATTTTCAACATCTTTTTCTAAAACATATTTTGCACTTTGATAATCAACTCGGAGTAAAAACTTTTGATTCAAAATATCATCTTGAAATTTACTAATACACAAAATAATAGATAAAATTTCTTTCTTAATAGTACTATAGTTATTTTGTGCTTTTGTCCAAACACCAGAATGGAATCGAACTAATTGTTTAGGTGCATTTGGACTGACTCGTTGCTTGAGGATGCCACCATATCCACTATTAGAGGCATCGGTTTCAATTATTTTAAAAGAAGCAGTAGTTGGAATGCTAAGACAGGGCAAAGACTTGACATAACGCTTAATGGATTTGACAATATCAGTATGGACAGAAGTCCATGGAGGGGGGTTACTCTGAAGTCAATCAAATAGGGGTTTACATTGCTTGCGAAGATCTTTGTAAAAATCAGCAATGTAATTTAGAGATCCTAAGAATCGCTGTAACTGTGATTTCTCTAAAATTTGATCTGGGAATTTATCAGCAAATTGAAGAGACTTATCAATGGGATGATTTTGACCTTGATAGATATGGTAACCAAGAAACCTGATGTTGGTTTGGAATAACTTGATTTTTGTAGCAGAAACAACAAGACCATTTTTTTTGAATTGTTGCTAGAAACGATTTCAAATGTTTCCAGTGTTCATCAATGGACTTGAAATAGATAAGAATATCATCAATATAAACAATGGAAAAGTGACTATAAGGATTGAAAATATCATTCATGATATTTTGGAATTCACTAGGAGCATTTTTTAATCCAAAGGGCATTACTTTCCATTCATAATGACCAAATGAAGTAGTGAAGGCAGTTTTGTATCTATCTTTTTTGCAGAGACGAATCTACCAAAATCCTGATTTCATATCAAATTTGAAAAAAATAACTGCTTGATTAAGGTGACTAATAAGATCTTTTTTATTAGGAATAGGATACTTAATCCATTCTAAGACCTTATTTAGAGGTTTGTAATTGATGACTAGCCGAGGAACACCTCTTTCTAGTTTAGAATTTTTCTGAACATAGAAAGCTGGATATGACCAAGGTGACTTGCTCTTCTTAATAATCTTCTTTTGTAGAAGATCATTAATTTTTTTTTTGTAAAATTCCATGACTTCAGGACTCATTTGAATTGGTCTAGCTTTAGTAGGAATATGCCGTCTCCTGAATCCTTTAATATAAGGTAACTGCACAGAGTGTCTTTTTCTGTGCCAAAAAGCAGTGGGTAGATCAGAACAAACTATATTTTTAATTTGTTGTTCAAAATTTTGAATTTTTGTTTGGAGAACTGGTTCAGTTAACTGAATATCAATTCTCTTGTAATTAACTTCTTCCTTTAGAAAACTCAACTGTTAAGTTTTACTTTGAAGTAGATTTATTGATTTAGACACAGAGGAATCAATTACTGATTTCAATTTTTTCCTATAAGGAGGACTAAGGAATTTGAATTGAACTGTGTGTCCAAAAGGGCGAGTGACTAATCTTTCGTTATCAGTGGTGAATGGATAAAGGAGGTAGATTAATGGAACACCTAATATCAGCTTATCGGTCATATTTTTGACCAAGACAAATGATGTCTTAAAACATACATTATTTTGGCAAACATGCGCTTTAGAAAGTTTGTATTTTATGTCCATCTTACTACCATTAGCTGAGCTCAGTCTTTCAGAGGTTTTCTCATAGTATTTAGTTGGTATGAGACCTTCCTGAATGCAATTTAGATCAGCTCCTGTATCAACCAAAATAATGACTTCAAGTTTGAAATCTTTGTTGATGATAAGGGTAACTTTAGTATACCATTTTTGAAATGAAATGTGACTCAAAGTTTGGAGTTTGTTAGAAGATTCAGAACCAAAGGGGTTTGAATGTTTTGATTCTGCTGAGTGAGTAGAGGTTTCTTCATCAGAGGACTCAGAAGAGTCTTTTCCTGTAAAAGAAAAAGTAGAATGTTGTTTTAGTTCTTATATATCATTTTTCATGACTTGGTGATCTGTTTTGAGGTTTTTTATCTCATTTTTTACTATGTTAATTTCTGTTTGCAAGTCTTGGATAATAACTTCTTTTGGTTTGTTATTAAATCTTTCTAGAGTTTTATATAGACTAAAATTAGGCTTACTAACTGTCGGGGTTTCAGGTTCTGAGTTACCTAATAATGTTTTAAGTTTTTTAAGATACAAGTTTTTTAACTCAGGGTCATCGACTTTACTGATTAAATCAATAAGTAAATGTTCTTGTTCATCATTTTTCGTGAGAACATTAAGTGAATTATTAGGATTACAACAACTATCTTTGCATCCTAATGTAATATTGGGTGAACTAGGAGAAGCATCAAATGACGGTGAGAAGGAGCCAAATTCTGGATCACTACTACTGTCATCGGTGTCTTTTAACTGAAGAATTTGGTAAATAGATTCCTTGATATCATTAGGGATTTGTAACTGATTGATCTTTGTTTTTGCATAACAATCTTTTACAAAATGACTTTGACGTCCACACTTGTGGCATTTATCTTTACTAATATTTGGGTTACTAGGGGTATTCTTTTTAAAGCTCTTTTTCCTAAATTTCTTTTTAGGTTTAGACTTTTGAGAATAATATTCATTTTTAGGAAAGACTGGTTTCCTGTTCCTGTAATTTCTATGGCGACCTTTGTAATGTTGCCGGTGTGATTTAGAGTTTTGTCTAGAGGGAGCTATGGGTGGAAGACCATAATGAATTGTTCACAAAAGTTCCCATTTCATACTTAACTCTTTTCCTATCATCTTGTAACTGGTTACTAATTTTCATGTCAATACACATTCTTTATCCTTCCTTCTGGATTAAGCTGATGATATTGCCATATGTGAGGTTATCATAATCAATGTTACTTGTGGCTTTACTAAGAGTATCATGAATCTTATGGGCAAAAAGGTTAGGTAAACCATTAATGAATTTTTCTTTCCAAAATTGTTTGTTACTATCATCTCTCAGCATAACTCTGGACAAGAATACGTCTTTATACCACCGGAAATCACTCATGGTTGGACAAGAGAGATTGGTAAGCTGGTCATCTATTCGAGAGGTGATGTTACTAGGAGTACCTATAAAATGGTCTGCTATGGTGTAAACAAGGGTATTGACTCCATCAGGAATGGCTCGTCCTAGGGCTTCATCAAAAATAGGAAGACCATCATTATCCTTTTGAATAGCATATTTGATTCCTGTTCGAGAATCTTCAGTGATGTGTTTTTCCCACCAAGATTTTAACATCCCTGAAAATCCTGAAGCAAGAAGATCAACTATTTCGGGTTGGCTAAGATTATGTGTGGTAACATAGTTATTAGCCACCATGAAAATATGACTAAGTTTGTTAAGAATTTCCTGTTCAGATAAACCATCAATATTCCATTCATAGAGTTTATCAGAGGATACAGAAAATTGATTTTGAATATTTCTTTCTTCATATCGAAGATCAGGAGGTGTTGGCCTGGGATACCAATTTTTGGTAAGACTAGTAGGATTAACCCGTTTGTTGACTAATCGATTGATTTCTATATTAGAAAAAGCATGTTCAAGTTGGTGAATATCATAGGAGTAACTAGAGGTAGAAGAAAGACTATCAGAATCATCAGTGTTATTGATGACAGTGAGTGTTTTATCTTCTTTAATGGCTTTGCCTTTCTCCATGTGTTTGAGAAGAGCCTCAATTTGGAGAATGACAGAAGGATTAGGAATGGCTTTGGGAAGGCCTTTTCTTTGTGTAGGCATAGAAATAATTGGTGACTCAAATGGGGTGGTGGTAACTGGAGGAATAGAGGACTGAGTGAGGGAAAGCTCAATCTTATCAAGTTGAGTCCCAATAGTATGCAAATATATATATATATATATATTTATATAAAATATTTTATATTGTGTGTGTATGCGTGAATTATCTCTTTTAAATTATTTTATTATTTTATTAATTCTTAGTGGGAATGGAATGGTCATTCCACCTCTCAATAAGTGGAATGGGCATTCCACCTTTTTGATGGAATGGGCATTCCTTAGGAATGGCCATTCCACTTTTAATGTGACACACCAAACAAGAGAATGGAAACAAATGCATTCCATTCCACCTTCATTTGATTCCATTCGCTCACACCAAACATAGCCTTACTTTTTTACCATATCTTACTGTGTAGCAAGGTGAACAACACTTAAAAGCACCTATTTATTATTATTATTATTATTTTCTGTTTTTTCACAATGTAGAGATCATGGGTAAATTACACCTAGACCCCTGAGGTTAGATCATTTCTCACGCAGATGAAGATTTTGGTTTTAATTTTCACTCATATTTGAAAGAGTGATTTGTATTTCACTTACACCCCAAATGTCAATTTGGGGGGTAAGTGAAATACTTTTTAGGTATAAAATGACTATTTTACCTTTTGACAATTTGTTAACTTAAAAAAAATGTATTTCAAATTTTTCATGACTAAAAAACCCCTCAAAATTTTCATGACTAAAAAACCCCAATGACTTTACAAGCCACAGCTGTTTACTACATATAACTGTTGCCTTTTGCTATTCTTTTTATTTTTTCCCTAACAATGACTATAATTGTTTAATTACTTAATTAAGAAAGACTCTTTCTTAATTGTTTAAGACTCTTTCTTAATTGCTTGCATATTTTATTTCTTTCTTAATTGGTTGCATATTAGAATGTAAAACAGCTGTTATAATCATATTAGCATTCTTGTATCTTGCACAATCCCCCCCCTTTTTTTTTTGAAACGGCACCTAGTTACAATCCTGTAATATAATTGGCCAACAACGTTTAGTTTAAATTGAAAACATGTAGAACAATTGTAATTTTTTTTTTAAGCCTCTAAAATCATAACCTGTTATAGTCCAATTTTTAAAACCTATTAGAGGATTACAAATTTTTAATACCTGTTACAGCAATTAATAAGCTAAAATATGTGCTATTTCTGTAATCCAATTTTGAAAACTTGTTACAGCAACTTAAAATCTCAAAATATATCAATACATTCCCAACTTTAAGGCTCAAAATACATAAATAATTCCAACTTAAAGTCTCAAAATATATCAATACATTCCCAACTTAAAGTCAATGTCGCACCTTTCTGATCAGTTCTAAGAAATTTAAAGAAAAAATTCAATGTCGCACCTTTCTGAACATCATATTTCAGCAATACAATAACATTATTATACAGCATGACATAACTGAACTTATCTGGATGAACATTCCCTATTACATGTATGTGTACCTCAAAGTGAAAAATGATATCATGTAATCTGTCATATGCCATTTCAAACTGGAATAACATACAACAAACATGTCAGATAATATCTTTCAAAAAAAAAAAAAAAACCTCACATGAACAAGTAGAATAACATATGAAATGCAGACACTCAAATTGATAGAAACCAAAAAAAAAAAAGAAGACGAATTGCAATCCTATAATACAAAAAATAGATATAAATTTATGCACACTCACAAAATATTTTCAAAACACTTCATTAATCTTTATATTTTATATTAAATTAAAGATTAATTTATATTAAATTACACTGTAGAAGTATTTTAGAAAATTGATACTTTAATGGCATAAAAAAATTGCAAAAGTTTATCTTGTTTTCATTTTCCTCAGCCATTATATTGACCAATGTTGCTATGCTTTATATATATATATATATATATATATATATATATATATTTAAGTATACACACGCAATATATTAGAAAATTGTTGACCAATGTTCAAAAATTAAAAATAAATTGAATCAGATTGTGATATCGGAAGATAAGTAGAGAATACCAAAAATTTAAACAAAAAAATTTCAAATCAAATTGTGATATCGGAAGAGAAGGATACAAAAAATTGAACAAAAAAAAAAAGAAAAAAAAAATATTAATATGAGTTCCTAGAAAGAGAAGACTAACATATCAAGAATGAAAATGAATATGGAGATTGTACCTTCAGAACTAGAATCTGAGATCTATTCAATAATCAGTAGCAGTATACATCTCCAATCCATCTCCATTTGTGGCAAAGACTATTTGCCCAATCTGCTACAAGGTCAACATCCATGAACTCCAGTGAGAGAGAGAACGAGAGGTGTATTCCGATGAGAGAGAGACGGAGAGAGAAAAGTGTATTCAGCTAGCTATTGTTTAGTGAGGGCTTTCTTCCTCACCGGAACACATTCTGCTTTGATCTTCCCGGTCCAGTTGCTTCTTTTCGCCTCTTCATGCGTCGGTTGGTGGCTAGGTATGTATTTGGCTCGGAGAGAGAGATGCAGAGAGGTGTGTTGGGTGTTTGTTTGGTGTGTATTTAACGTGTATACAATGAGAGGGGTAGTTTTGTCTTTTAGAGTTGCAGAATTTTTTTTGTATTAAAAAATTAAGGGTAAAATGGTCAATTCACATGGGTCAGAATTCAAAAAGTAACTTGAAGTGTAAGTGAAAGTTAAAACCCAAATCGTCTGGGTGTAAAATAACCTAACTTCAAGGAATCTAGGTGTAATTTACCCTTTATTTATTTATATGTATACTCTGTATACACATTTTTATTATACATTAAATACTAATAGTCTAATCATCATTTAATTAATTAATAGTCCAAGACTTGTAATTTAGTGGCTCATTTCCTTTCAAAATGAATTGTGGGATTAGAGTCCACAAAGTGACAAAGTGATTCTGCATTTCTTGCCAATAAAAAAAAAAAATTTGATCAAGCCAAATTTCATCTATGGACTTGCATTGAACACAATCACGTTAAACTTCAAGGGCAAAGAAGAAGAATTAAAAAAACAAAAAAATTCAACTGTCTGTGTCCATGACTGTAACTATACCAAACAGTTAGTTTGAGCTTGATATGTTAAGGATTCGTTTCACATCAGGTTATTTAATAAATGAACTAAATTTAAATAATTTTTTTTTTTTTTTTTGATAAGTAAATTTAAATAAAATTTATAAACCCTATTAATAAACAAATCAATCTCCCAAATCGTTATTTTGTAAAATCGTCGTTCCTAAACAAACTTGCAAACATGCTAGTTTTGAGTCGAAAACATATGTATATAATAATTTTATAAATATGATTTTAAGTAGATAAATAATATTTCTTAAAGTATATATATATTTTTTTCAGACTATAATAAATTTGAGGAAAAATCTCGCTGTCCAATTAGAATCAACCACCTCATCACGAGACATTTTGTCACCATAATTCTCTTGGGGCGACCGACCCTGAAAGCCCAATGAAGTAAGCCGAGTGGGAGAATTTCATCTCTCAGCCCAACAAGTAAGCATGCCATTTGCTCATCCTCGGGCCAATCCATAATCTGCCATAAAGAAAGCTCACCGGTGTAAATTCACCGACTTAATTGCCTTTATATAGTATTCCTATATGGAAGAATTGTAGAAGAATACATCAACTTTCCAAGATTTAATCTTGTATAAATAATATAAGCGTGTTGAGCATATTGTTTTGTGGCACTTTTATGCTTGACCTTTTAAAGTTGCTTGTTAGGGCAGATATTCCATTTGCATAACCCTAAACCCCTAATCCCTCTATTTCCTCAGTCACGACCTAATCCGATTCAAGCAAAGCATCGGCGACGACGACCATCCGGATCTCATAACCCCCAACACTTATTTACAGGACCAAAGAAGGCCGAAAAAGTAAGATTCGGGAATACACTCGCCAAAAACTACAATGGCCGACACCGCCGCACCAGAGATAAAGCCCGCCGCACCAGAGATAAAGCGGTCATGGGGTGAAGAAGCTGAAGAAGAACCGGATGTTCCTTCAACCTCCGATGACAAAGTCGGCTCATCCCTCGAGATCGACTCCTTGGTGATCGACGACTCGAAGAAAGTGAACAAGTTCCTCGAGGAACCCGAGGATTCCAATATCAAAGCCGTATGCTCTATTTTTCCTTTATCTCCTTAATTTTGGGGTTTTTGATTTCGAGTTTGATTAATTTAGGGTTTGTTTCGTTTCAGGTCACGACCGGCGATACAATGTATTCGTCTGCAAAGAAGTTCGAGGACTTGAATCTATCGCCAGAATTGTTGAAAGGTTTATATGTGGGGATGCAGTTCGAGAGGCCAAGCAAGATTCAAGCCATCAGTCTGCCGATGATTCTCACCCCGCCTTACAAGAACCTGATCGCTCAGGCACACAATGGTTCTGGTAAAACCACTTGTTTCGTGCTCGGCATGCTCAGCCGTATAGATGCGAAGCTTAATGCTCCCCAGGCGCTTTGCATATGCCCTACCAGAGAATTGGCCATTCAGGTTTGGAATATATACACAGTAAATACGTATTGATCTTTATATGGTATTTGTGTTTGAATCCTGATTGTTCCTTGAAGTGCTTGTGAAATTATTAGTTAATGGTACTCCTTAGGTCAGATTTCAGTCTTAAATTGCACTTCATTTACGTGTTCTTTCTATATATAAATATATGTATTTCTTGGTTATGTTTTAAGGGACTACATGGATCTTTGGTTTTGCAAGTTTATGGTTTAAATGATGATATTTTAAAGATAAGATATATGTGTTTTAATTAATTCTAGTGGGTGGATGGTTCTCTTTGTGCGCAGGATGTACTCTTAATACACTGAGTTCAGACTTCAGTGTTGATTTATTATCAGTGCAGTAATGTGTGATTCATAATGTATAGTTCAATTCTGCTGGATCTTTGAAATGTTTATGAATTTAATTAACGTAGATGGTTCTTTGGCATATTTGTGTGTTCACGGTTTAATTGATATTTGTGTGTTCACGGTTTAATTGATGTTGGTTCTTTAGGGTTTGAGTTGAGGTTTTAATCAGTAGTAGCAGGAGGGATGATTGGTGTATATGTATACCATATGGATGCATATATAATTTTGCTTGTTTTCTTTAGTTTTATGAGGTCTGGATTTTTATTAATGGTAGCGAGTGATGGTGCAGAACATGGAAGTTCTTCAGAAGATGGGAAAGTTCACAGGAATTACTGCCGAATGTGCTGTGCCAATGGATAGCTCTAATTATATTCCAATTAAGAAGCGCGCACCAGTGACGGCGCAAGTGGTGATTGGCACGCCTGGAACTATAAATAAATGGGTGGAGGCAAAAAAATTGGGCATGAGTTATATGAAGATTCTTGTTTTTGATGAGGCTGACCACATGTTGGCTGAGGTACACATTTTCTTAAAATTATATTCTATTATTTGTAATGCTTATAATGAAATTCAAATCTTTTGGGGGCCTTTTTAGAAAGTATATTAGGACTTCCTCAACTCAACTAGAGTGTACATCTTTTATGTTGGGACGTCGAGTTCTAATAAATTTGGACTTGCATAAGTCACGCACAGTGTCTACTGGTGTGGATTGTGGACCCTCTAATAAGATTTTGCATTATGGAGCTGTTAATATGTCTACCTCATAGAATTGTAAATGCTGAGTTCTATGCACTGATTCATTACCAAAAAAATTTAGCAATCAATATGTTATGACATCCAAGAAAGACAAAAACCATAGAAATTTAAGATAGTGTACCTTTTTTTCCTCTTTTTATTTTTTTCCCAGATGTCCAGATGCATGATTGCATATGTATCCCTTTGGTGATGTTCCTGGAATTCTTAACTTCGATCTTGTCTTCATCTTTTCCCAATTTTTGCCATATTACGTAAATATGTAAGATTTAAATAGGATAAGCTTTAATTACTAATTTATCCCAGGAGGCTGAAATTAATACATGGAGTTTATTGTATAATTTTTTCTTTAGTAATGTTATCTAGATAGTGTTCCTTTATTGTTTTGTCAAAAAAAAAAAAAAAAAAAAAAAAAAGAATATTGCTTGGTGCATCCTCAAAATATTACCCTTTTTTGTCATGCCCATTTTTATCCCCTGCATTTTTTTTTTTTTGGGGTTACAATCATCCCAAGTTCATGTCTTCCCTATCTTGTCAACATCTTCTCCTCTCTACAGAGCAATTCTAATTAGAAACTTTCTATATAATATATTTGTATATATACAAATACATGCAACTAGATAACTTGATTGAAATTGTAGTCCTTACATATTTTATTGCATAAAGTAAGTCCATAATTTAGAACAGGAAGAAACAAATATGCTAGTGGAACTGTGGAAGGCCCTCATGATTTGTCCCTGGTAGTCATCACTGTGGTAATACTATGTGTTATTGAAATCATTATACTTTTCAACCTTCAATCCTCTCAAGGCTTTGAAACAGCCAAAAGTATTTTAATAATGGATGCTATTGGTTGTGTGTCCTTTTAAGACACACATAGTCAAGTGGTTCTTTATACTTCATAAATGTTGAAGTGTACCTGTAGAGAAGAATTCCTTAGTGTGTCAAGTATTTTGCTTCTTCAATCATTGAGTCGAGCACGTGGGATCAAGAACAGGATATGGTGTACACACTTTTCTTAGGTTCAACCCGTCCTTTACTTATCTCTTGAATTGCTGTTTTGGAGCAATCTTTTGCATCTCTTTAAGTGTTGTGCCAAATTGTACTGGTTGTATCTCATTGCCTGAACAAGAATTTAATGTTACAAACCTTTAGGTCTTATTGAACAATTAAGTGGTTTGTTAGAGTTAGGCTGAGCTTGCCAAGTTATTTGATGTATATTTTATATTGTCTTAGAGCATGGTGCTGAATATAGTGAAAGTGAATATGTCATCGATATTGGAATGATACCCAATCTTTTATATCTAGGTTAGCATGCAATTTTAGTCCACTTACTATTAGTTGCTTAGTAGCATTAAGCAAAGATGCTTTTACCTTGATTGATTTATCGTATAAGGAAATGTATTTATATAAGGAATAAAGACCATTTCCTAACGTGGTTCACATTTGTCATGGGTGTTGGGATTGGTGGACTGGGTATACAAGGTATATGATTGACCTTTGGCTTATTGGCAGCCTAGCGTTTGTCACCACACCAATCAATGGTCCTAACTATTATTCAAGTAATGATTCATTACTTTTTGTTAATTCTGTAAGTAATTACACACTGCAGAAAATTTAAGTTGTATATGAAAATGGGTTTGACTAGCAAAATAATTTTTATGTTCTATAAACTTTCTGTTAATCCTTGATTACTTATCAAGATTGTTTCTGTGCAGACTGGCTTTAAAGACGACTCCTTGAGGATTATGAAGGCGATTGTTAGATGCAATTCTGACTGCCAGGTTTGTTGCACTTATCTGTTATTATACTTCTTGAACTAAGTGATTTAATAGTAAGCTTGCTTTTTGCACACCCACTTGTAATTTTTTTTTTTTACGTTCTACTTTATGGTGTAATTGGAAAAATATGATCTTGAGTTCCCCTTTCTCTCTCTCTCTCCCCCCTTTTCCCTCTTCTCATTGGCTGGGTAAAGAGGCTCAACAATAGTAGAGTATTTTTTGGATATATGGTAAAGCCTTCTCTGAGTTGGAAACAGTAGCGATGACTCTTGAGTAGAATAATACGGATAGATAAATATACTGCTAGTTCACTTCGAACGCACTATGATGTATGACTACTTAGCTTGTTATATTTCATGTCACAGACAGTTTGAACATATTGTAGTTTGAATCTTGTTTTAAAAGTCTAAATGATGCTAGAGGGGGAGCTTAGCTTGAATTTTTACTTTTTGTTCTATATACTTCTTGTCAAGACTACTTCCATCAAAACTCCTTTAACTAAAGAAATAAAGGGGATGAACACTAAGTTCAATGTAATTAGTTAAGGCTCAATACACCAACTAGTTTCTACTTCCTCGTATTTTCATGAGGCTAGCGCAAATGTTTTTCAGTTCAAACGAAACATATATTGGACAACTGGAGAAACATTTTGGGCAACTAAGAACAATATATGCATAAAGCGAGTGTGATATAAATGCAAACTTTGAGATGGACGTACGGCTAGACAAGAAATGATAGATTCGTGAAATGGCTAAAGTAGCACCAATTGGAGATGGAGAAAATCGATTAAGATGGTTTGGATAAGTGTGCCAATTAGGAAGAATGGCATAGTGAACATTGAAGGTAATACTAAGTGAAGGGGAAGTCCAAAGTTAAGTGGGTAGAGTTAGCAAGGTAGGATATGATAAAACGTGGTTTGACTTGGGCAATGACCTTAGAGAGGGAAATGAAAAAATAGAATTCATGTACACCTCAAGTTGTTGGGAAAAATGGTATTTTTGTTGTATTTTATGGTACAGGTTTTTGATTTCGTAGAATAGGATTCTGGAAAAGAGGTGTTGACCCAAACTAAGAACGGTAAAATATGATGGTTTCTAGATCTGGATAGGAATATATATGCATATGTATCATATTTGAGAGTTTCTGGATATTTCAGTATGGTACTTTTTGAAACGAAACTTTTTGAGAGTTGTGTTTTGAATATTCAAACGGTAGTTAAGGGGAACCAACTGTTCTAACACCATTAAAATTCTATTATAAAACTTCATAAATTTGTAAAATAATGTAGTCACAATATTTAATAATAAATGAAAATATATAATCATGCACATATGATGGATCTTGTTTCCATAATTTCAGATTTGATTTGAATGTGGTATCTGAGAGGGCCAGTTTATTATGACTGGGATTAAAGTAGATGTAGTTCTCTTTTCAACAGTTGTGTAGGTTTTAAGATCTTATATATCTTTCAATCCAGTTGTGATATAGAAGGATATGCTTGTTTCCCGTGGTACATGTCTTCTTCTATAGATTTTAAATTATGAACTTCGTGCAACTTACAATGTATTTGTTTAATTGAATTACTTTAGAGCTTTTGGAAAATGATTATATCCCCTTCAATATCATTTCTTATTTGAGGGGAAAAATGAAATCCATGTGTGAAAATATAGAGAACGAATAGAGATTTTTCTTCAGCCAAAGTGACAGTATTTTATTTTTTAGGTTTGCTCCTTTTATTGCCCCTTTCTTTGTATTTCTTTGCTGTAATAATTCTCTTTCTTGTTAAAGCAAAGAGAAAAAGGAGTTTATATGAGTGAATTTTAGTGCATTGTGGTTTGCTGCAGAAAAAATAAGTTGCTGACACATGTTTTAATTATTTAGAGATTGTCTTATTCTTCCCTTTATTAATGCAAATATATTTATATTATACTATATTATGTTATTTTGGGTAAATTACACTGACCCTCCCCAATAATTTCTTTGTGCTTTCAAGATGGGACTGCATGTCTGACACCCTTCTACCTTTTGTCGCAAATTATTACCAGGTGCTTTTGTTTTCTGCAACTTTTGATGATGCTGTCAGAAATTTTGTATCAAAAATTGTTAAAGATCTCTTCAAGAAAGATTACAATCAAATGTTTGTGAACAAAGAAGAGCTGTCCTTGGAGTCTGTGAAGCAGTACAAGGTGAACTGTCCCGATGAACTTTCAAAGATAAAGGTAATTAAAGACAGAATTTTTGAATTGGGAAATAAGGTGGGGCAGAGAATTATTTTTGTTCGCACAAGAAATAGCGCGAGCATGTTGCATCAAGCACTTGTGGAATATGGCTATGAGGTGACTACCATTCAAGGTGCTCTTAAGCAAGATGACAGAGACAAGATAATCAAGGAATTTAAAAAGGGACTGACTCAAGTTCTTATTTCAACTGACCTCCTCGCCCGGGGTTTTGATCAAGCAGAGGTGCTCACTTTTATCTCTTTTTACCTATTTTTATTTTTCTTTTTACTGCACAAAATATTGACATCATAACATGTTTTATTTCAGGTTAATCTGGTTGTCAATTATGATCTTCCCGTGAAGTACGAAACTCCATCGGAGCCTGACTATGAGGTATACTTGCATCGGATTGGCAGGGCAGGACGTTTCGGCCGCAAGGGTAAAGTCTCTTGACTTGGGAGTATCTTTTTTTTTTTTTTTTTGTGTGGTCGTAGAAATACTGTTGACTCATTTAGCGTACTTTCCTCCTAGAGACGTTCAGATTGATCACTGATTATAATTTCGTGTCTAAAAGCATGACATAGGTTCCTCGAGATACACCATATACAAAGTACCGTGCAATTCCTACATTAAGCTTACTGTGTTTGTATGATATAAATACGTCGGAAATTGTTAAATAAAAATTTTATGCATGAAAATTTCTACTTGTGGGTAATGTTCTTTTATAGTAGCTGTAGAGGCTAGGAACTTGTTGAAGTGAATGAAATTTTTAGTTGCATGTATAAAACCTGGTTTCTTTTTAGGGCCCATGTGTTCTTATTGTAAATTGGCTTAGGATTTCAACTGAACTTGTTTAAGGGCTGCCCCTCTGTTGCTAAGAGAGAGCTGGGTGCTTAACTCGCTAAGAAACATATATTTTGTTGCCCTTTATGTGCAAAAGCCCAACAATAATGAAAAGGAGTGTTACTTTGTGTACAAGCAAGGGTCTTCCAGATCCTGCAGAAGCTTTTTACCAATCAAGTAGTACAGCAGCTGAATCTTAACGTGGAAATTGGAATAATCAGTGAACTGAACCAGTGGCTTCAATGTGTAATCACTGTTAAATATTGTTCGGTGGCTAATTTTTAAGGTGTTTGAAACTGCAGCTGTGATTGGAATTCTTCAAAGAAAACTTTCTGGGCTATGGATATCAATGTCATTTTTATTTTTTTATTGGGCTGGGGGTAAATATCAAGTGTGGTGTTTTTTTAACTTCTGGGAAGTCCAGGTCTTGAATAATTGTTTGACAGTCAGATCCTTGGATTTGGAATGCTGAAATTATACTAACCTATGATTTTGCTCAGTCTTGCCTAAAGAACTTCAGCTGTATTTTTGTTTTCCTGCATGCAATCCAGAACTTGGGGAGTATATTTTGGTATGTGAGTTCCCTCTTTTGTGGACATTCCACATGATCAGCCTGGCCTAACCAAAACATTGTGTGGAATTAAGGAAGAACTTCATATTGATTAAGTCTCCTCTTGGTTAGGATTTTTCTTTACCTAGGCTTCCTGGAGTCATGAATCTGCTTCTAGCTAGCTGTCAAAGCCTCACAGGTTGACTCCAACCTTGTAGGTTGGATTTGTAGGCTTGTATATGAAATGAGGTCTTACAATATATATATATATATATATATATATATATATATATATGGTTCTGGTTTAAACATTTATAAACTGCAGCTAGTTGTTGGCGGCTTGTTTATTTTTTATGCTCTCCTTGTTCAAGTATAATACTATAATGTAATATTATTAGAAGATTTGAAGCCTCTAATGGAATATTAAGCAGTATTTGTTTCCTGTTTTGTATATAATTCTACAGGAGCCGTATTCAACTTGTTGTGCTTTGATAGAGATGTTATGCTAATGGAGAAGATAGAGAAGCACTTTAACACCCATGTGGAAGAGGTGAGACTCCTTTTATGACTTAAAATAATGTGGGGAAGGATTATGGAATACTTTGGAATCCGAAACTAGTTGTAGGAGTAGCTGTAGTAAGATTTGAAGTTTTATGTTCCTATACTTTTCTGGTAATAATACAGTATAAATGTAGTAGTTGTAAGATGGGTATGAGAAACTTTGATAGAAGTTATATCACCACCTTATGCTTATGTTGGTGCTATGTAATGCAGGTCCCGTCCTGGAACAGCGAGGAGGATTTTGAGGCTGCTTTAAAAAAAGCTGGTCTCTTTTAAAGATTTGTGTGTTATTGGGAAAGATTATTCTTCCAAACAACATGTGGTTTTGGTTATCTGGTACTGTTGGATATTCGGTTATCTGGTACGTTGGATATAAATATCAGCCCCCAAATCAGTTTTTGGATGTTGATTTTGGGTTTAAACAGATGATTGATCTTGTTGTATAGCAATTTGAAGTCGATGTTATGTGGTTTATTTGTGGACTACATTTAATCTAGTCTCTTCTATATTTGGTTGGAATGCAAGCCCATTGTAGAATTGATAGAACAGTTTTCCCCACATTTTTAAAAGTCATGTTTGCTATGTATTTTGGTTGGACAACACTTGGCTTCTCACCTTGGTTGGATTGGATCATGTACGCCATCTGATTGCAGATGTGGACCAATAGCAAATGAACATCAATCAGATGTGGATCAATAGCAAATGAACATGGTGTAAGGATGCAAGTATTGTCCATTAAGGACAAACTTATTACACTGTTTACTCTTGCTCATTAAATTTATCATTTCTTATTATTTTTTTTCTCTCTTAACTTATCTAAATATTAATTATACCAAAATAAAAAAAAAATAAATAGATTTGAACTACTATTTTCTAAAATTATTAATTTATTATTACAACTTCAATATTTATAATAAATATATTTAGTAAAAAAATACCTTATTTTTTATACAATATATCCATGAAAAAATTAATAAATTGCTCCAATAAAAATTACTTTCTCTTTCGTGAAATTAAGAAATTACATAAATTGTTTTAAATTTTCTACTTAGGACTTCTATTTAAGCAATTAATATAAAAAATTAAAGGTAATTAGTATATATATTTTTTTCATAATTTATCTTAATAAAAAAACTAGATGAAGTGAAATTGAGTATTATGGTCATTTAATAATAAATAGTTTAGGTATTGGGGCATTTTGTAACAAAATGTGATAGTTCAGGATATTGTGTACAAAATATATTTTAAGAGGATTATTAGCAAGTTCAGACATAATTAAGGGATTTTTTTTTATACTAAACCCTTCTTTTTATTATTAAATTATTCCAGTATAATGGCAAAATCACTCTAAAAGGGAAGCAAGTAGAAGATTTTCGAAAAGTTTTATTTGTGTGTAATTAGGGAAAAAAAACTTCCTTGCGCCTCGTTGCACAGTGCAACAGGCAAGTTCGGATCGTCCGTGTAATACACGCGTGGTAAAAACCGATTGGGTGCCCTCGTAACTCCATTGCACTTTGCAATGGGCATAATAAATTTTGTTTTTGTAATTAGGGTCAACTTTAGGGGATATAAGTGTACTTAATCATAACGCATTAACTGTGTATTTTTTTTTTTTGAGAAACAAATGTGTACGTTCTTTGAGAATTTGTAGTGATGGAAGTCCCGTGCTTAGTTATTTTTACCTACTTCAACGGTGACAATATAATTAAATTTCAAATTTAAATTCATAAGGTATGATTTTAGAATAAGTTTACACTGTTCATAGTTGAGGGACTTTCCCATTCTTAAAGATAGGCCAAGATGTCATGAAACAAGATTTTTAATTCATGGAATGAGTGCCAATTGGCCTACTAGGAACGTGGAATATTTAATTGGAGTATATTAAAAAGATATGCCAAGTGGTTTGCACGTCACAAGTAGTGCCCTTCCACCTTGGTCCTAGACTATGCGGTGTTTATGAATATTTATGTGTGGATTTGTGTATTCATTTTCCCTAAATTTTGTTGAGAGAGAGAGAGAGAGAGAGAGAGAAGAAGAAGTTAAGAGAGATGGGTGCAGCGGTATTGATGATAATTGCAACTTCACTTTTGATGGGTTCCATCAATGTTGCAGAAGCTTGGAAGGAGGAAACTAAAGTCATACACGTGGGCGGGAAAGTGCTGTGTCAAGACTGCACCCAGGGCTGGAATGAATGGCTCCATGGTGCTAAGCCTATCAAAGGTATTTTTGTCCCTGTGAACAATTTGTAGAAGAGTCGTGATACATTGTTCGAAAGTTAAGACGCATCGGACTGACATATATGTAAATAGGAATTGCCATTATTATAAGATCGTCATGACATCATCCTCTCTACTCCTCTCTACTCATATAAAAGAGCCGAATTAGTCCGATTATGAAATTACATATTTATCTTCTTTTGTAGAATATGATCATACTTTATCATATTTATCCACTAAGATGGCCAAAAAAAAAAAAAAAAAAACAAACACACGATACACACACACACACAACTTTTCATTTGCTAGGGATGAATTAATTTATTTAGAAAATTGGTATCGTCTAGTGGGACAAATCAAATAATGTAGCTGGTGTCATGCAGGGTGCAAGGTATCAATAACATGCATGGATGATAGGAGCAGAGTTGTGTACTATGGAAGTGATCAAACTGATGAAGGCGGCGATTTTGAGATGACCATTAACAAATTCATCAATGGCAAGGAATTGAATGCCAAAAAATGCTCCGTTAGGCTGGTGTCATCACCGGACCCTGTATGCAACCTTCCCACCAACTTTGCCGGTGGACGGTCAGGAGTGAAACTCAGCAGACCTACCTTGGTGTACAGAGACATCATCAAACATGTGCTCGGTCCATTCTACTACACAACCCCGATGTGTGATGAACCTGATGTGAGCGAATCTCATGGCAAAGGAAACACCTACTAAAGTTTTATCATTTTATTTTTTCTTCATTGTTTTGTTCTTGTTCGTTTCTAATTGAGTTAATTTATTTAAGCCTTTGATTTTCTTCCTCCATATGAAAATGCATTTCTTTGGTATGAATTGTTCCGATCCATAAGCAGAAGTGTTAACTTGTACAGAATTCTTAGAAAAATTCTGGGCATAAAAAAGTGTCATAATTTCAATTTCGCAATCCAAAAAAAGTTCACAGCTTTGGAAAATCGGCAACGCATATATATACACATATATAACACTCACAAATTAGACGCCAAAAATTCACTCTTTTTCTGTCTCCCCCACCTACATACATGCATCTACAAGGGTGTTCAATTTGGTAAAAATCAACATTGTTCCTCCCACAGTATTGCACATATATTTTAACCCGAACAATCAGAGATCAAAGCCAATTGATCATGAAATCTGCAGAGGGAGGAGGGATTCAAGAGAACCAGGGAAGAAAATTTGGGCTTTGGTTTTTGCACCAAATTTGGAAAATACAAGACTATCGTCAAAATGAATACGTTTTTTTATTGCCATAACAGTGGCACTCTCATCTGCTAAAAATATCTTCAACTAAAAAGCTCTCACCGAAATAGGAAGAGGGCAACAAGTGCCAAACAATAAATTTCACAGTTCTAACTGCGATTATGTCTCCTTTCTCAGCATACACATGTACAAACAAAGTTCTACTTACACTGTTAAGGATGTCTTGGCAGCAAGATGGATACTTGCACGTCTGTGGTAAGTGTTGCGAAGCTTCTTGTACTTCTGCACAAAAACCCCAAGATCAATCTCTCTATCAAGAAGCTGCTGGTGCAGGGCTTCAGATTCCTCTTCTGTCTTGCTCATGGCCTCTGCAAACAACAAACATCTTTACATCAATGATGCAACAGAAAGCTCTACATGTCCTCTCAAACTCAATCATGAGCAATCAAAGACGGTGTGGAAAATCGTAACAGTAATGGCGGTGGTGCTTAGGACTAATTACAGGTAGCCATTTGTTTGAAACATTATACCCAAATCGGTTTGGCGTATAAGGTTCCAGTCTGTTCATCAATCAGTTCACCCAGGGACGGATCCAGAAAATTGTGAGGGGGCAAAAGTGGGATTTTTTTTTTTTTTTTTTGAGGGGGGGGGGGGGGGGGGGGGGAGACGACGTCAACAAAGAAAAAATTACTATTATATAATACTAAAAATAAAAATCGGAACTGACTATACATTAGATCTGTCCCGGAGTTGACCAAAAGGATTGAGCCGACAACATGCAAAAATTTCAAAAAAATAAAAAAATAAAAGAAGAAAGAGAAAAAAAAGAGGTAAAAAGAGCCAAGTTTCCTGTAATTAGGACTAACTGTGTTGGATGTCAGGTAAATCTGCCTTAATAATAATAGCGAGGACGACAACAAAAACAACAATAGTAGTAGAAGCAGTAATTGTTGTTGCCATTATTTATTACCTTCAAGCCTGTGGAGGAAGGATACTGGGGAGTAGAACTTCAAAGTCTCTTGCTTTTGCTTCTCTAGATCATGCAACTTCTCTTGAGCAGCAGCCAATTCAGTTGTCCGGATGATTCTGCACTGTTACCATTCAAACAAACAAACAAACAAAAAAAAAAACGGGGGAGCAAAGAGAGAACATTTTACAATGCAGTTTCGTGGAAGGGTTTCAGGTAGAGGACATGAAAGACAGCTTACAAATATTCAGGGTACAAAAAAAAAAGGATTAAAAATCTTACCTGATTTCTCAGCTCCAGTATGCGGGGTTCTTTCTCCAAGTTTCCTCCTGCAGAAAGCAATTATTTATAACCTTATTCTATATATGGTTCAATTGCCTGTGAGACGTGATAATGTATGTCTCTGCGTGCATGTGTCAAGATAAAAAAGACAATTACATATAAGAAACAAATTAGATATGAACTCACTGGCAAGCTGCAGAGTTTCCTTTCGAAGTTCATCTCTTACCTAATGTAATCAAACAAAGAATAAGAAAAATGATTAGAAACAACTGCGAAAGGAGGAGGAGGGGAAGTCAACTAGGAAAAATGGCTAAAATAAAATGAGTATATTACATGTAGAACCCGCACATCCACAATTAGCAGTATTCTATGAGGCACCACCTCATGTAAGTCACAGGAGCAAACAGATGATCATTTGGAGTAACTTACAGTAAGTGACCTTTTAGATGGACTAGTGATCAATTTGCCCTCCCGACACTCCACATAAATGGACACCAACACAGACTAGTGACTTTTTAAAATCTCACCAACTTTGTCTACAACTCTTCAATCCTAGTTCTATCTCCAACAGAACCTTTCACCACCTCTCACGAACAACTGCACATAAATTTTTTACATTATGTACTTGCTATTTAGAGTCTCCTACAATTCCTACCATTTACTTCTAGACCAACATGTCTCAAAGCACTATTACCTACATAATCCCAGCACATGAGTGTCCACAATCTATATAACCAAGACTCGATTAAGCCATGTTGGCATTGAGGAGAGAGAGAGAGAGAGAGAGAGAGGGAGAGAGAGAGGGAGAGAGAGTATATATCTTTCTCACATTTCTTCATAGGGCCAGACTATCTAGTTCTAGTTATAATGAGCCGTCTAAAATGGCTTATAATATACAGTACATTAAAGCAAACAATGAACAATTGCAACAAGTACAAAACTGGGTGAAAGCATAAAAAGGAAACACTGCCACTCACATTGTTTTGTATTTTCACCTGATCAAGTGAAAGTAAGAATTTCTGGTACGCATCCTTGTCAGATAGAAGCTTTCGTAACTCATCAACACTAAATGAATTGACAACAAAGCAAAAAAATTATCACACACTATAGAAATAGAAAAAAATAAGTCTAAGAATTTAGCTTTCGAAATTTGATGTCCAGAATTCTAATTTCAATGATTCCAAAACTCCCACATCAAAAAGGGAAAGAAAAAAAAAAAAAAAAAAAAAACATCGCCACTGGCCTAGTGACCGCATATAAAATAACTGACAACTAATGTTGACCATCTATATTTCCATCATTCAATATACATGTTAAAGTGTCTTTGAATCGCCCTTTTTCACTTGCAACTGAAATGCTAAGCATATTCTCTCTTTGGAAAATAACAGTAGATGACCATCTTTTTCCTCAATGGCATCACTTCCAGTCAATCACTCACTGGTATGTCGAAATCTTTTTCAATACCAGATTTTTTTCACACGTTTCAACATCTATACAAGGGTTCACCCTCAAAGAGCAAACGGATGAGTAAGATAATATTCCATAATGGAACTTGTTATAAAGGCATTATTTTTTTTATAATGCATCAATGCCAAACAGGTACATGTTCTCTAACTTATCATATGATAAGTATATTTAATATGATCATCAAAATCTTACCACAGATGCACAAAATCAATATACACACATAAAAAACGCTTGCTATGAAGCAGATATGTAGCAATGCCCGATGCATAAATTTTGAAGGGTTTCTGAGTTTAACTTCCATAACAATGTCAGAATTTGAAATAGTATTCACAACCACATTACATAGCCAAATGAAGAAAAAAATTAAATCAAAGATCCACTAGTCTTACAAAAATACAGCTACTTTCCTAGACAAAAAATGGATATAATCATATAGATCTAGTTGACATCAAGTGATCTGATGATAGATAATGGCAAATTATACAAAGTTCACAACTTCTTAAAGTGGAAAAAAAGTGAAACAATAGGTAAATTGGGAAAAGAAAATGAATAATGTCATCCAGAGCCTTATGGTGATAATCCAATTTCAATAAGCAAAGCAACAAGAAGTAAGTAGGAAACTTACTTCATGCTGAGATAACAACAAAAGACATTAAATACCAGGAAACTTACTTCTTGTCTTTTAATAGAGCAATGATGCCTGCAGCTTCCGCAGGCGAAACATGAGATGGAGTTGAAGGCTGATCTGTTGGCCTTTGTGGACCAAAGTTGCTAGAAGAGTTGCTACCAGGTGTTGAGGGGCGGGAAGAACTTGGTGAATTGACAACAGATGGAGGATACCATGAGCCTGTAGAAATCTCCTGAGGAGGTGGCTGAGCTTGTTGCTCTTGTGAACCCCTGTAAGCAACCCAAGGTTTAGATAGTGTTTATCGATACGAATGGACTGTAGAATTTAAATAGTAATACAGAATTCATAACACTAACGTCTATACAAGTGCTGAGCAATCTGCCATTCATCTATTACAGTGCAGTTAAAACTCAATTGGGGTCATAGACTCACAGCAGCAAAAATAATATTTAATGCTCTAGAATAGTTCATTTTTTTGCCCAATCAAACATAGATGAACTAGCAGATGCACATGCACATGCACAATTTACTTCCAGGGCATTGAACACTATGCTTGATTCCAGGGTTATATAATATGCATCAGAAGCTAAAGCACAAACATTCGGTTTGATAAATAAAAACTATAGAACCGTAATATACTAAAAATGGGAATAAAATCAACGAAATTGTCCAATAACACAGCAGCAATTCAAATTTCTATCTGAAAAAATTATCAATATAAATTTATAACAAAACAGGCAACCATATAACCTAAACAATTAACTAAAGAGCCGCCATTTACAAATACGATATGCAAATAGCCCTAAGTAGAATTTCATAATAGATAACTGATACAACGATTTGACTAACGCAAACCCTAAATTATAACTGAAAAATTAATTATTTATAAAAAAATTACCAGAACGATTTGAACATGACTTGAAGAGATCGTTGGTCGTCCGATTAATCGAAATATATATCTGAATCGAAACTAATGCGAATCGCCGAAAGGAAACAGAGACACACAAGGCGAGATGATCAGAGCTCCCTTTCTCAGATTTTGTTCGCGTTGTAATTATAAAGATGTGTGAAATTTCGAAAAAAAAATTATACAGGTGTGTTTTTCTCAATGTTGTAATAAGCGCGTATGAACAACATATTCATAGTTACGTTACGTGTGTGTATCATATAGGATTAATTGCAACAAACCCCCTCCTTTACCGCAAATAACGCTCTAAATTATATTTAATTACATTTTAGACCTTAAATTATTCCGTTTATTTAGCAAACCCCCTGCCGTTATTGTACCGTTGAGAAGCTAACGGTTAATTGGGGCATGCCCGTCAGACCAAGAAAGTCAGATCTATTTAGGGACAATAGGTCCTCGTTAGGGAGGATTTATAACATACTAGTGATATAGGCCAATAATAAATGGATAAGTCCTATTTTAATTACCAATTTATAAATGATAATCAATTTAATAGCTAAATATTTACCTATTATCTTTGATTTGTTAATTAAAGATCACATATCAATTTATTATTGATCCACATCAATGGTGAATATATTATAGATTCTCATTAGTGAGGGTCTAAATATTATCCTTTATTTAAGCTTTGTTTGGATGCATAGGAAAAAAAGAAAAGATAGTATTAATTACGAGAGAAAAAAGGATAATAATAATTTTTATTTATATTTAGATGGATAGGAAAGAAAAAAAAAATGATAATATTCTTATTTAGATAAGCATAGATTGGATGGTGAGGGAGAAAAAAAGAAAAAAATATAACAATTAAATTATTATTATATTCTTTTAAATAGATGAGATATTCTTCTTTTTAATTGTTATGAATAATTTTAAAATTATAAATATATTACTTAAATAATATAATTTCTCTCCCTATCCTCTCTTTAATAAGAGAGAGAAAATGAGGGATAAGGAGGGATAAGTTTTCCCCCATCCTTTCTTTTCATTTATCTCCGTATCGCTCCAAATTTACCCTATTCAAACACACTTACTGTGGCAATCACTCATTTAGCCTACTCTGACCTGATCTCATGATGAGGATTTGAAACTTGTATAACTAGAGTTTGGGATTGAACTTCAAAACCAGGTTGGTGAATTTGTTATCATGTAAGCATTCAATCTAAAGAATTTTAACATAACACATTCCTTTCTTTTCCCCTCCTTCACTAGTTTTCAGTCTCAGGACAAAGTGACACGTCCATATCTGATCTGAATAAAGTAATCTGCAATAAATATATAAATTCTAAATTTTGGGAATTTCTCATTTTGTCTTGTACAAATTAGAGAGATTTTTCATTACATTGTATTATTACTTAAAAAAACTTCATCACCGTCTCTTTGTGGTCCCTTGCAGTGCTTCTTTGTCTTCATAATTTATGGTGAAGAATTTGGTGATCGAGTAATGCTTCCGGCCATCTGCAGAGAAACACAAGGCTGTTCTACGGGAACCTGCAGGTCATAAAATATGAATTTTATTAAGCCTCCTCGTTCACATTTATGCAGAATATCATTTTGGAAATGTAGTGTGTTAAATTTGGTTTTAGTGCCTCTTTTTCATGATTTTGGTGTTGGCATGCTTTATTATTTTAAGGGCTTCCATTACATTAGCTAGTTGTTCATCCTTCTTTCTCACTCCCTCCCTCTTTCTCTGAATTTTTAGGTCATAACAAGACTTCTGTTACTGCTATAGTTGAATCATATCTCAAGTCATCACTTGATTTTGCACTAGTGTGATGCATATCCATATTTATAGATAAATAAAAAAAATAGAAAAAAGGATGTTGAAGAATAAGTGTTAAGAGTTGACACCAACAGAGAGTATGAACTCCTATTCTTTTTGTGTAGAAATCTTTTACTATTGGAAGAAAGGGTTAAAAAATATATATAATAATAATAATAATAAAAAAATCCTCTTATGCTATGGCAATGTATTCAATTTCAGCTTATATGGTACCAAATGGAACTCAAGTTTTTTAAGACCAACCAATATTTGTTTACACCGCCAGCAAATGTTTTGGAGCTTTGTGTACTGGTTTTTATATATGAGTTTTGGAATCCTAAATTCCTAATGCACCTAAAATTTTGTACAAATTTATTATATAATCGATGTTGTTTAGCGTCTTTGATGATAACAAAATACTAACAATGAGAAGTGACGATGATAAATGACAACAATGATGCAGGATTACTTACAAAGTGGCCAGCACCAAGAATCCAATAGAAGAACAGGTTTTTGTGTGAACTCACAAACCCTTTTGTAATTGTTTCATCTCCTCCACAGTACAAAGGAGTTCGGTCTGAGCTCAAATAATTTTTCAAACCATCCCACCTGAAAATTTAATCGATTTAACTTTAATTTCATTCAACTGAACTTCATTGTAGAATATAAATCAGAGAAGCATTAAATTACTGGAGTTTGTTGACCCATGCTTCTGCTCCTTTTGTTGCACAGATGAGATCAAGCTGCCATTAGCAACCATCAGATCATATTTTTATTGGATTTAGGAGGACACCAAACATCATTTAGACATTTCAAGGACACTAAAATAATCCAGCACCAGCCAACTCTGTCCTTAATTTTTATTTCAAAGTTAATTCCAGAATTAGATTCATCGATCATGATGTGTCCTTATTTATTATCTTTCATGTTCATCTATATCCATTGAGAGAAACAACATTACCTGTCCATTGTATATGGTTACATTTATGCCTTGGGCTAAGAGCTCATCAACATGTAAATTTATATATGAAGGTTAAATTCTTGCAGTGGGAACATATCAGAGGAAAATAACCAAGTACTATTTGCCTAGTGTGTGCAAGTAAGAATTATGTAAGACATTTACAAAGTCATTGTTACCTCTGTGATTCTTGGATTTATGAAATCTTCAATCAGGGCCATCAAAACAAGGTAATTCTGTCCTCCCCATTTGCATAACAGTGATATAAAGACATGATCGTAAACCATTTTAGTCATCATTCTAAAGGAAAATGTTAATTATCAATGCTTAGTCAATTTGTTTCTTCATATGTATATATAAATAAAACAATAGAGACTATGAATATGCTATTTATTTTATTTTGTATCAAGTATGAAGGTACTTACGTTACATAACTGGGAATAATCTTTAGCTTCTCTTTAATAGGTCCATTCATCAAGCTAGCAAAGTTACCAGTCCATGCACCATTAATGGATGACGAAAACATTTTGGTGCTTAGATGTTTTGAATACCTTTCTGCCATTAGTCCTTTCTGTTTCTCTGATTTAATAATTGGAGTTCCAGAATCCAACATAAAGTTATAGAAGTTCTGCAACATTGCAAGTACTCCACTCAACTGTTCTAATATTCTGACTGCCATTGATATATATATATATATATAAAAAGAGAGAGAGAGAGACACCACATTGTTACTGCTGTCCGAAATCACATTCTCAAGAACAAACCATGTGTTTGTAGCATCTCCATACTTCCCTTCCGCAAGCTGCTGCTGAATCTCTTGGGCTAAGCTGTTCTTCAAAAGTTTAATGTTAAATTTGATAAAATCCAATATTTTCTTCTTGACAACATGTGAAGATTATAACATGTTCAATGTATGAACTCATCCTCCGATCCTAGGCTTAGTATTGTTGCTGCTAGTAACTAAATTGTTAATTCTCTTTTTGCTGCCTAGAGCTACTAGTAGACATTTATGTTACTGGGCATTTGAGGATTAATACAATTCCTTCTGTTTGAATGTCCTGATCCCTCAGACTTGTCACTCTCTTTTGTATTTCTTTGTTCAATTTTAATTCATAATTACCAACTATAGTGTAAAGATTTTTTGAATTCTCTTTCTTTATACTTAGTTTTAGAAAGTAGCATTTGCCGAACCTGTTTGATTTATTCAAACCATTGTTGTCAATCCGCGACACGGCCTTAAGAAGAGGTCCCCATGAAAGCTGCATTTCAGTTCATAAATCTAAATGAGATGGAACCAAAAATTTGTGCAACTATGAAATAACAAAATTTGAGTAGACATTTTTTTTGACACTAACGTACCACGAAATCTTCAGGAGAAATCCAACTGTTTCCCAAAGCAACTCCTAGGTTTAAACAAAACCATTTGCGTTTGGAGGTTAAAATTTTGTTCTTAAAAGCAAGAAAAGTATCTTAATTACAAGCCAATGATGTCTCAGTGATACCCAAATAGTAGGAAAAAAAATTATTACCTCCAAGTTGAAGCTTTAGTTCCTCTGCTTGAATTGCTTTAAGAGCCGAAACCCCAAGAGTAACGACAAATTTTCCTCCATATGATTCTCCAAAAATGAAGAGAGGACTTTTTTGGAGGCTCTCATTTCCATTGAAAATTTCCTTCAACAATGTAGTTAGATCAGCTGCAGCCTCTTCATCAGTCATGACTTCCAAATTCTCATCCTCCACATAGCTAAAACTGGTTCCAACAGGACTATCCTACAATTACATGAATAAAAAGAAAGAAAAATTGAAGATTCAGTTTGTGTTAAAAGCAACCAAAACAACTTCTTACTACAAAAGCACATGAAATTTACCACAAATAAAAGATCAGCTTTGAGGAGCCAAGTTGAATTCCGGGGATTCAAATTCCCGTCTAATGGTCCTATTTCTAAGAAATTCCCGATTCCAACTCCAGGGGCGCCCTAAATTCACAAATCAGAACTCAAAGTGAGATGAATTATATATCTATATTTATGTAATATACTGTGCGTTTACAATGTTTTTCGTGTGTTAGAATAAGTACTCACTGGGCCTCCTTGGAGCCATAGAAGTATTGGCTATGGGTTAGATGGATCTTCAACTCTATTAGGACTTCTATAAAGCCACCAAAACATGTGTGCCTCTATAATACAACACAAGAAAGTAATAAATAGACTAGTTATTAAAAGAACTATAGTTTTCACATTTCATAGCAACAAAAATGGGACATTGTCTGTGAACCTAATAGAAGATTAAGACATACTAGGTCGAAATTCAACATATCCCCATTGTTCAGACCCATCATCAGTTCCAGCAGTAATATTAAAGTCTGCATGAACCAAGGAAAGAGAAACCAGTAGACAGACAGAAAGAAGAAGAAAAAGGGTGTCCCTAGCAGCCATTTTTAGTGTTTGATTGAGATGGCTAGCAAAAGATTATATATAGAGCCAATACATGGTTTAAGAAGCTTCACCTGTTCGTCTTTAATTAACTAGGAAAAGAACACCAAAAAGAAAACAAAATTGGATGGAAAACCAAGAAGAATTACTAGGCATATACAACCATGCATGTAAACATAGACAGACATAAGTTCCTGTTCATAATCATATGAGAGAGAGAGAGATTGTATCTTGTATATTCAACATAACAGACCTAATAAGCCTATGCAGGCTTATATAATGATTACAAGTCTTACTTAATAACACAAGGGCCCTATCAACTTTCTGTAATTACATAATGACCCAACACTTATATATATATAACATTCGAACACTCCCCCTCAAGCTGGAGAATATATATCAAATAATCCCAGCTTGGAACAGATAGTTCTTAACCGGTTATGACCCAATGCTTTGGTAAACATATCAGCTAATTGATTTTCAGAAATCACAAATGGAGTAGAGATGCTCCCACTTAATAGTTTTTCTCGAATGAAGTGAGAATCAACTTTAATATGTTTGGTCCTCTTATGAAACACAGGATTTGATGCAATGTGAACTGTTGCTTGATTATCACAGAACAATGGAGTAGGAGCTTCAACTGTCAACCCAAGTTCTTTTAGAAAATGTTATATCCATGTCAACTCACTAGTGGTATGAGCCATTGCCCTATACTCAGCTTCAGCACTAGATCGAGCTACCACCGTTTGCTTTTTACTTCGCCATGTAACGAGATTTCCTCCTACAAATGTGCAGTATCCTGTAGTAGATCTCCTATCTGAAGGAGAACCAGCCCAGTCAGCATTTGTAAAACCTTTCACCCTGAGATGACCATTTGATTTATATAGTAACCCTAAACCTGGAGCTTGCTTGAGATATCGGATAATCCGAAGAACAACAATCCAATGTGGCATTCTAGGGACTCCCATGAACTGACTTACAACACTAACTGCATATGAAATGTCAGGTCGAGTCATAGTGAGATAAATTAATTTCCCAACAAAGCGACGAAATCTGCCCGGGTCATTAAATAGATCACCCTCATCAGACACAAGTTTTGTATTTGAATCCATAGGAGCATCAACCCAACATACCTGTTTTTTCTAATAAGTTCAACACATATTTCCGTTGAGATAAACTTATACCCTTCTTGGATCTAGCAACTTCAATACCCAAGAAATACCTAAGTTTACCCAAGTCTTTAGTGTGGAATCGATATTGCAGAAACAACTTCAACTTAGCAATGCCTTCAGAATCATCACCTGTGATCACAATATCATCTATATACACCACAAGAAATATGAAGCCAGCTTTAGTGCGCTGGTAAAACACCGAATGGTCGGTCTGACATCTGTTAAGACCAAATTTTAATGCCACCTCAGAGAATTTCCCAAACCAAGCCCGTGGAGATTGTTTCAATCCATACAGGGCCTTTTTAAGGCGACAAACAGTGTGAAGATACTCCCCTGAGCAACACACCCAGGTGGTTGCTCCATATAAACCTTTTCTGCTAAGTCACCATGCAAAAAAGCATTTTTAACGTCTAACTGAAACAGAGGCCAATGGCGATTAGCAGCAAGAGAAATCAAAACACGAATAGAAGAAATCTTAGCAACGGGGGCAAATGTCTCATCATAGTCAATACCATAAGTCTGGGTATAACCTTTGGCAACAAGAAGTGCTTTTAGACGCTCAATAGACCCATCTGGAAGATACTTCACAGTATATACCCAGCGACAACCAACAGGTTTAGCACCTGGAGGTAATGGAACAAGATTTTACGTGCCATTCTTATGCAAAGCATCCATTTCATCTTGCATTGCTTTCCTCCAGCCCGAATCAGACAAAGCATCCTGCACAGTCTTAAGAACAAATGTAGTAGACAACTTAGAGGAAAAACATGAGAAAGATGGCGATAAGGAATTATAAGAGACATACTGAGCAATGGGATGTTTAGTAACACACGAGAGAGGAGCTTTACGAAGTGCAATAGGTAAGGAGTCAGACACAGTGGAAGTTGTAGGATCCAAAGACTTTGAAGACGATGGAGGAGGCACGACAGCAGATGGCTTTGGTCTTCGAGTGTACACCTGTAACGGGGCAGGCGAAGGAACCAGAGATCGAGGTTGAAGGGAAAGTGAGGGAAGAGGAACTGCAGAAAGAGATGACTCAAGAGTGATATCAAGAAGTGAATCAGTATCTGAAAAATATGGGATGGATTCACAAAATGTGACATCCGCGCTACTGTTGAGAAACAGGACTATAGCAGCGATAACCTTTATGAGAACGAGAGTAGCCAAGAAATACACACTTTATGGCACGTGGGTCTAGTTTGTCAAAACCAGGACCAAGATTGTGGACATAACATACACATCCAAAAACCCTAGGAGGAAAAGAAAACAAGGGAGAATCAGGAAATAAAATAGAATGTGGAAATTTGCCATCTAATACAAATGACGGCATACGGTTAATAAGATGACAGGCAGTAAGAACAGCATCACCTCAAAACCGTTTAGGCATACGCATATGAAACAAAAGAGCACGAGTTACTTCTAAGAGATGTCGATTCTTACGTTCTGCAACTCCATTTTGTTGAGGAGTATAAACACATGAATTTTGATGAATAATTCCTTTATCACTAAGATATGTATCAAATGGAGTTGACGAATATTCCTTAGCATTATCAGAACGTAGAATACGAATTGGACATCCAAACAGAGTTTTGATTTCTTTGCGAAATTTTTGAAAAATTAAAAACAACTCAGAACGATCTTTCATTAGAAACAACCAAGTCAGGCGAGAATAATCATCCACAAATGTCACAAAATAATGAAATTTATTGATTAAAGAATGTTTTATTGGACCTCAAACATCTGAATGAACCAAATGAAAAGGACTAAAGACACGATTATTAACCCTAGACTTGAAAGACACGCGATGGTGCTTACTAAGTTGACAAACTTCACATAATAAGAATTTCAAATGACTAAGACTAGGAACTTGACGCTTCAAAACTTGAAGTGACGGGTGACCAAGTCGACAGTGCCACTGGAATGGAGGCAGAGAAGACTGAAGAGCCACAGGATAAGGTTTCGAAATCAAAATAATATAAGCCACCAGCTTCATGTCCCGTACCAATCTTCTTCTTTGTCTTGAGATCCTGAAACACACAAGAAGTAGGATCAAATGTAACAGAGCACTGGAGAGATTTAGTAAGCTTACTGATAGACATTAAATTAAAGGGAAACTGCGGAACATATAAAACGGACGAGAAAGACAATGAATCACTAAGTTGAGTTGTCCCCAAACCTGAAACCTGAGTGGATGAACCATTAGCAAGAGTAACTCCTTGAGAAGGAGGTACAGAATGAAAACCAGATAGAAGAGAAGAACATCCAGTCATATGATCAGATGCTCCAGTGTTTATGATCCAAGGACTGCGAGTGGAAGACAATAGACATGTGTGTGCAGTACCTGACTGGGCAAAGGTAGCTGTGGAAGATGAATTAGATGCTTGCTTATAAGACAAAAACTGAGTACACTCATCCCGTGGAACAGGGACCGTATCTGATTCAGCCACGTTGTGAGATCCAGAAGCAACATCATTCGGAGAAGAGGAAACTTGATTGCATAACTAGATGGTTTCCCATGAAGGTCCCAACAAAAGTTCACAGAATGATTAGAAAGACCACAATGAGTACATTTTCTTAATTCCTTGCCATGGCCACATCCTCCTCGTGAATCACGACCACCACGTGTGGAGCGTCCCTCACGACCTCCACGGTAAGCATTATGTTCACCCTTTGAAACTACCAATGCTGAACGCTCACTACTCTGTCTAGCATTCAAATTTGATGTATCAATTGCTAGTGTAGCACGCTGAAGGCGAGAAAACACCTCAGCAAGAGAGGGAAGTGTTGGACTGCCCATAATCTGTGCACGAAAAGGCTCATATGCTGATGATAAACCAGTAAGAAAACGGACAACATTAAAGTCCGCACGCTGTTGTTGCATACTGCAAACATCAGTAGTAATGGGCTAATACATATTCAGCTCTTCACAGACTCCCATAACTTTGGAATAATACTCTTCTATACTTTGAGTCTCTTGTTCAAGATTGAAGTACTGCTTACAGAGTTCATAGACACGAGTGATATTACCTGTCCCAGAATACAATTGCTGCAATTTGTCCCATATCTCCTTGGCAGTATCCAAATAAAGTAACGTTAAACTGATTTGGCCGGCTATTGTAATTACTCAATTCTACTCAATGCACCATTCACTGTGAGAAATTGTTGAGTGCCAGACTGCCAGAGAGAGATGCCATTGGAATTGGGAGAAGAGATGTGTAGAAAAGAAAAAACTTAACAGACTCAAGTGTAACAGAGTTCAAAAGTAGAAGTAAAATAGAGTGTTGAGAATTGTTTGTAAATTTTGAGAGTTGCAGATTTTTTTGATTTCTGAAACTTATTATTCATGGGGTACCTCATGGGCTGTGTCAGTTTACTTATCATTGCCTGCTTATGCAGATTCATTCACTGTGACAATCACTCATTTAGCCTACCCTGACCTAACCTCATTATGAGCAATTTGGAACAAGAGTTTTGGGATTGAACTTCAAACCCAGGTTGGTGAATTAGTTGTCATGTAAGCATTCAATTTAAAGAATTAACATAACATATTCCTTTCTTTTCCCCTCCTTCACTAGTTTTCAGTCTCAGGACAAAGGCATATCTGATCTGAAGAAAGTAATCTGCAATAAATATATAAATTCTAAATTTTCGGAATTTCTCATTTTGCCTTCTACAAGTTAGAGAGATTTTTTCATTACATTCGCATTATTACTTAAAAAACTTCATGAGTGTCTCTTTGTGGTCTGTTGCAGTGCTTCTTTGTCTTCATAATTTATGGTGAAGAATTTGGTGATCGAGTAATGCTTCCGGCCATCTGTAGAGAAACACAGGGCTGTTCTACGGGAACCTGGCAGGTATAAAACAAAACTGGTCATAAAATGTGAACTTTATTAAGCATCATTCACATTAATGCAAAATATCTGTTTAGAAATGTAGTGTTGATTTTGGTCTTAGTGCCACTTTGTTTTCATGATTTTAGTGTTGAAGAATAAGTGTTAAGAGTTGACACCAACAGAATATGAACTCCTATTCTTTTTGTGTACGTTGAAATCTTTTACTATTATAAAAAGTGGCATTCTCTTTCCAAAAGTGACCTTCCATTGGAAGAAAGGGTTAATTAAAAATAAAAAAATCCTCTTATGCTGTGGCAATGTATTCAATTTCAGCTTATATGGTTACCAAATGGAACCCAAGTTTTTAAAGACTGAACAATATTTGTTTACACGGCCAGCAAATGTTTTGGATCTTTGTGTACTGGTTTTTTTATATGAGTTTCGGAATCCTAAATTCCTAATGCACCTAAACTTTTGTATAAATTGATTATATAATCGATGTTGTTTAGCATCTTTGACGATAACAAAATACTAACAATGAAAAGAGACAATGATAATGACAACAACGATGCAGGTTTACTTACAAAGTGGCCAGCACCAAGAATCCAATAGAAGAACAGGTTTTTGTATGAACTCACAAACCCTTTTGTAATTGTATCATCTCCTCCACAGTACAAAGGAGTTCGGTCTGAGCTCAAGTAATTTTTCAAACCATCCCACCTGAAAATTTAATTGATTTCACTATAAATTTCGTTCAACTGAACTTAATTGTAAGATATAAATCAGAGAAGCATTAAATTACTGGAGTTTGTTCATCCATGCTTCTGCTCCTTTTGTTGCGCAGATGAGATCAAGCTGCCATTAGCAACCATCAGATCATATTTTATAGGAGACAGTTTAAGACAATGAATTGGAGGGCACCAAACACCATTTAGACATTTCAAGGAAATTCATACACTGAAATAATCCGGCACTAGACAACTCCGTACTTAATTTTTATTTCATAGTTAATTCCAATATTACATTCATCGATCATCATATGTACTTATTTATCATCTTTCATGTTCATATATATATATATATATATATATATATATATATATATATATATTGAGAGAAACAACATTAGATATTCATACCTGTCCACTGTATACGGTTACATTTATGCCTTGGGCTAAGAGCTCATCAACCTGGAAATATATTATGAAAGTTAAATTCTTGCAGACAGACACAAACAACTCCTAGTGTGTGCAAGTAAGAATTAACTAAGACATTTACAAAGTGATTGTTACCTCTTTGATTCTTGGATTCATGAAATCTCCAGTCATGGCCGGAAAAACAATGTTACCCTGTCCTCCCCATCTGCATAACAGCGATATAAAGACATGATCATAGACCATTTTAGTCATCAGTCTAAAGGAAAATGTTAATTATCAATGCTTAGTCAATTTGTTTCTTCATATATGTATACAATAAAACAATATAGATTACAAATATTCTGTTTTTTTTTATATTATTTATCAAGTATGAAGGTACTTACGTTACATTATTGGGAATAATCTTTAGCTTCTCTTTAATAGGTCCATTCATCAGGCTAGCAAAGTCACCAGTCCGTGCGCCATTAATGGATGACAAAAACATTTTGGTGCTTAGATATTTTGAATACCTTTCTGCCATTAGTCCTTTCTGTTCCTCTGATTGCACAATTGCAGTTCCAGAATCCAACATGAAGTTATAGAAGTTCTGCAACATTGCGAGTACTCCACTCAACTGATCTAATATTCTGACTGCCATTGATACACACACACACACACACACACACACACACACACACATAAAGAGAGAGAGAGATACCACATTGTTACTGCTGTCCAAAACCACACCCTCAAGATCCGACCATGTGTTTGTAGCATCTTCATACTTCCCTTCCGCAAGCTGCTGCTGGATCACTTGGGCTAAGCTGTTCTTCCAAAGTTTAATGTTAAATTTGATAAAATCCAATATTTTCTTCTTGACAATGTGCGAAGAATATAACACGTTCAATGTATAAACTTATCTTCTAATCCCCCTAGGCTTAAACTATTGTTGCTGCTAGTAACTTGATTGTTAGTTCTCTTGTTGCTGCCTAGAGCTACTAGTAGACATTTATGACAACTGTAATGGCCTAATTGCTGCGGGATTTTATAATTAGTACAATTCCTTCTGTTTGAATGTCCTGATTCCTCGAACTGGTCAATCTCTTTCATATTTCTTTGTTCATTTTTAATTCATAATTACCAACTATACAGTGTCATGTAAAGAATTTTTGAATTATTTATTTAAACTTTGTTTTAGAAAGTAGCATTTGTCGAACCTGATTGATTCATTCAAACCATTGTTGTCAATCCGCGACACGTCCTTAAGAAGAGGTCCCCATGAAAACTGCATTTCAGTTCATAAATCTAAATGAGATGAAACCAAAAATTTGTCCAACTATTAAATAACCAAATTTGCGTAGAGATTGGTACCACGAAATCTTCAGGAGAAATCCAACTGTTTCCCAAAGCAACTCCTATACTTGGACATATAAACATAGATTTAAAAAATGAAAGTAGTGCTTGGAAGTTGAAATTTTGTTCTTAAAAGCAAGAAAAGTATCTAAATTATTACCCAAACAGTAGAAAAAAAAATTATTACCTCCAAGTTGAAGCTTTAGTTCCCCTGCTTGAATAGCTTTAAGAGCCGAAACAGCAAGAGTAACAACAAATTTTCCACCATATGATTCTCCAAAAATGAAGAGAGGACTTTTTTGGAGGCTCTCATTTCCATTGAAGAGTTCTTTCAACAATGTAGTTAGATCAGTTGCGGCTTCTTCATCAGTCTTAACTGCCAAATTCTCGTCTTCCACATAGCTAAAACCCGTTCCAACGGGGTTATCCTACAATAACATGAAAGGAAAAAATGAATGTTCACTCTGTTTTGAAAGCTACCAAAACAACTTCCTACTACGAAAGCACATGAAATTTTACCACAAATAAGAGATCAGCTTTGAGGAGCCAAGTTGAATTCCGGGGATTCAAATTCCCGTCTAATGGTCCTATTTCTAAGAAATTTCCGAACCCAACTCCAGAGCCACCCTAAATTCACAAATAAAAATTCAAAGTGTGATGAATTATATATCCATATTTAAGTAATATACTGTGCCTGTATAATGTTTTTCTTGTGTTAGAATAAGTACTCACTGGTCCTCCTTGGAGCCATAGAAGTATTGGCCATGGGTTAGATGGATCTTCAACTCTATTAGGACTTCTATAAAGCCACCAAAACATGTGTGCCTCTACAATACAACACAAAAAAGTAACAAATGGACTAGTTATTTTTTTATAAATCTAAATAACAAATGGACTAGTTATTAAAAGAACTATACAGTATTCACATTTCATAGCAAAAAAAATGGGACATTGTTTGTGAACTTAATAGAAGATTAAGACATACGAGGTCGAACTTCAACGTATCCCCATTGTTCAGACCCATCATCAGTTCCAGCAGCAATACTAAAGTCCGCATGAACCAAGGAAAGAGAGAGCAGTAGAGAGACAGAAAGAAGAAGAAAAAGGGTGTCACTAGCAGCCATTTTTAGTGTCCAATTGAGATGGCTAGGACAAGATTATATATACAGCAAAGACATGGCATAAGAAGCTTCACCTGTTTGTCTTTAAGTAACTAGGAAAAGAACACCAAAAAGAAACCAAATTTGGATGAAAAACCAAGAATGGCAAGTCATATACAACCATGAATGTAAACATAAGTTCCAAACTGAAAAACTAAAGAGGAACATAGTAAAATCGTTAATTTCAAAGCTTAGTTTGGTCAACTTCTATATTTTGGCTCCAAAGATAAGTTGTCCTTTGAAATTGAAAATGATTCTAAATAATTTTTTGTGGGTAAGGTCTATTGAAAAGTACTAGCATATATTGGTGGCCATGTCTATTGAAAATTATACATATATGTATGTACTTTGGACATAGGTATAAGACAGACTAACTAACTCTAGTTATCTTTTGTGGCTGTAGTCTATAGAATAGTCTCTTTGGTTAGGTTTTTTTCACTTTCTTTCATTATCCTGGCCTTCAGGAAGAGGTGGTTGTTGGATCAACCTTAATTTATTACTACCTCAAAAAAATAAGAGTGTTATTTAATTGACAAATGATAATGAAAACAGCAATTCCATTTTTTTTTAATCTTCATAGTCAATTTGTTTTATCACTTCAATTTGTATCCTCTATTGTGTGGCCAAATAATTTGAATTTTGATCACCATCTTATAAAAGCTAATGTCTTGGTTTTATGAGTTTCAACCCCAAAATGGGCAAAGTGAAATGCGTTAATTAACTTGTATAACAATGGTTTGGGATTGAACTTCAAACTCATGTAGTAAGCTTTTGATTTGATGATTAACATTACACCTCCCTTTCTTTTCGCATCCTTCACTAGTTTGCAAACTTGCGGTGTTAGGACAAAGTGACACATATAGAAGTTTAGAATCATTTTCAATTTCAACCCTAAACCCTAATCTGAAGAAAGTTTTGTGCAATTAATATATAAATTCTCATTCTTTGGAATTTTGCATTTTATCATCTACAAGTTGAGAGATTTTTCATAACATTGGCTTTTTTACTTAAACTTCATTCATGACTGTCTCCGGGTTGTCCCTTGCGATACTTCTTTGTCTTCACAATTTATTACAAATATTTGGTGATCGAGTAATGCTTCCGGCCATCTGCAGGGAAACACAGGGCTGTTCTACTGGAACCTGAAGGTATAAAACAGAACAAGTCATATAATTTGAATTTTAGTAAGCCTCACTCACATTAATGCATAATATCAGTTTGGAAATGTAGTGTGTTGAATTTGGCTTTAGTGCCACTTTTTCATGCTTGCGGTGTAGACATGCTTTATAATTTTAATGCTTTATAATTTGGATCTTTGTTTTCTGGTTTTTTATATATGTGTTTTCTAATTCTAAATTCCTAATACACCTAAAATTTATTGATTAAAGAACTGATGTTGTTAGTGTCTGGCAAAATAATACTACCGATGAGAAGAGACAATAATCATGACAAAAACAATGTGGGATTACTTACTAAGTGGCCAGCTCCAAGAATCCAATAGAAGAACAGGTTTTTGTATGACCTCGCGAACCCTTTTGTAGTTGTATCATCTTTTCCACAGTACAAAGGAGTTCGGTCCAAGCTCAAATAATTTTTCAAACCATCCCACCTGAAAATTTAATCAATTTAACTTTAAATTTCATTCCAACTTAACCTAATCGTAGATGTAAATCGGAGAAGCATGAAATTACTCGAGTTTGTTGACCCATGCTTCTGCTCCTTTGGTTGCGCATATGAGATCAAGCTGCCATTAGCAACCATCAGATCATATTTTATAGGAGATAGTTCAAGACAATGAATTGGAGGACACCAAACATCATTTTAGACATTTCGAGGACATTAAGATACTAAAATTAGGTTCATTGATCATCATGTGTACTCATTGTTTATTATCTTTCATGTTCATCTAGATCCATTGAGAGACACATTATTAGGTATTCATACCTGTCCACTGTATACTGTTACATTTATGCCTTTGGCTAAGAGCTCATCAACCTGGAAATATATTATGAAAGATTAAATTCTGCAGACAAACAAACAACTCCTAGTAGTGTATTTCATTTTCCTATACCTTGTTTTTTTTTTTCTTTTCTTTTTTTTCGATGTTAAAGAGAAAATTAGAGACATTTACAGAGTCATTGTTACCTCTTTGATTCTCGGCTTCATGAAATCTCCAGTCATGGCTAGAAAAACAATGTCTTCCTGTCCTCCCCATCTACATAACAGCGATACAAGGACATAATCATAAACAATTTTAGTCAGCGGTCTAGAGGAGAATGTTAATAATCAAATGCTGCCTAGTCAATTATCGATACAGACTACAAATATGTAATAAATAGATACTTACGATACATTGTTGGGAATAATCTTTAGCTTCTCTTTAATAGGTCCATTCATCAAGCTGGAAACACCATTAAATGATGATGAAAGCAGTTTGGTGCTAAGATGTTTTGAATACCTTTCTGCCATTAGTCCTTTCTCTGTTTTGAAAGTTTCAGCTCCAAAATCGTCCAACATGAAGTTATAGAAGTTCTGCAACATTGCAAGTAATCCACTCAACTCTTCCAATATTCTGACTGCCATTGATATATATATATATATATATAGAAAGAGAGCGAGAGAGATACCACATTGTTACTGCTGCTTAAAATCACACCCTCTAGCTCATCCCATGTGTTTGTAGCATCTTCATACTTCCCTTCGGCAAGCTGCTGCTGAATCTCTTGGGCTAAGCTGTTCTTCCAAAGTTTAATGTTAAATTGGTCAGAATCTCTCATATTTCTTTTGTTCGTTTTTAATTTATAATTACCAATTACACAGTGGCGTATACAGAGTTTTTGAAATTAGCATTTGTCGAACCTGTTTGATTTGTTTAAACCATTGTTGTCAATCCGCGACACGTCCTTAAGAAGTGGTCCCCATGAAAACTGCATTTCAGTTCATAAGCCTAAATGATATGAAACCAAAAAAATTGTCCAATTGTGAAATAACAAGATTTTAAGTAGAAACACTTTTTTGGACACAGAAATGTACCACGAAATCTTCAGGAGAAATCCAACTGTTTCCCAAAGCAACTCCTATACTTGGAACATATAAAGCATAGATTTAGACATAGAAAAGTTATGTGTGGAGCTTGATTACTAGGTAAGTCAAATGATTTCTCCTGCCTAAAATTGGTTTTTTTTTGTTCCTTTTCAGAGAGTGAAATTTGAGAAATTTTGTTCTTAAAGCAAGAAAAGTAATTAAATTACAAGCCAAAGATGACTCTGTGATACCCAAACAGTAGAAAATAGACTCATTACCTCCAAGTTGAAGCTTTAGTTCTCCTGCTTGAATTGCTTTAAGTGCCAAAACCCCAAGGGTAACTGCAAATTTTCCTCCATACGATTCTCCAAAAATGAAGAGAGGACTTGTTTGGAGGCTCTCATTTCCATTGAAGATTTCCTTCAACAATGTAGTTAGATCAGCTGCAGCCTCTTCATCAGTTTTAACCAACAAATTCTTATCTTCCACATAACTAAAACCAGTTCCAACAGGGCTATCCTACAATTACATAAAAGAAACAATGTGGTTCAGTTTGTGTTAAAAGGCTACCAAAATAAGTTCTTATTACAAAAGCACATAAAATTTTACCACAAATAAGAGATCAGCTTTGAGGAGCCAAGTTGAATTCCGGGGATTCAAATTCCCATCTAATGGTCCTATTTCTATGAAATTTCCAAACCCAACTCCAGAAACGCCCTGAATTCACAAATCAAAATTTAAAGCAAGTAAGAGATCATTTCTGTGTGTGTGTGTGTGTGTGTGTGTGTGTGTATATATATGTATATGTAAGTCTTTTTAATGTTTTTTCGTGTGTTGCAATGTACTCACGGGACCTCCTTGGAGCCATAGAAGTATTGGCCATGGGTTGGATGGATCTTCAATTCTATTAGGACTTCTATAAAGCCACCAAAACATGTGGGCCTCTACAATAAAACGCAAGAAAGTAACAAATGTACTAGTTATTAAAAGAACTAAAGTATTTTCACATTTCATAGCAACAAAAATGGGACATTGTTTGTGAACTCAACATAAGATTAAGACATACTAGGTCGAACTTCAACATAACCCCATTGTTCAGACCCATCATCTGTTCCTGCAGTAATACCAAAGTCTGCATGAACCAAGGAAGAAGAGAACAGTAGAGAGACAAAAAGAAGAAGAAAAAGGGCGTCAGTAGCAGCCATTTGTAGTGTCCAATTGAGATGGCTAGGACAAGATTATATAGACAAAGACATGGCATAAGAAAATGACAGCAAAAAGAAAACAGATTTGGATGAGAAACTAAGAATGACTAGGCATATATACGACCATGCATTTAAACAAAATCGGATTAAAATTCCAAATTGAAGAAATCTAAGAGGAACATAGTAAAGTCAGTTAATTCAAAGATTTGTTTGGTTTTACATTTTCTGTACAGAACTGCTATGTAAGGCCCATAGTGTGCCCCACCCGTGTGAGATACGTTGAGTGTGCCCCATTATATAATTTCACTAAGACTCCGTATATATTTTGGCTACAAGGTGAGAAGATATCCTCCTTTCTTAATGACGCATTAAATTCTCTTGCGTGCCTACTGGGTGAGGGTGACTGGATACTCTTCATGGACCTCACTTTTAATGTGGCACGTGTCTATTTGAATTTAAAATATATGGTTAATTTTACATACATTCTTTCAAATTTAATTAAATATTTTTCAAAAATTACTATCATAACATTTCTTGTTTTTTTTTCACTCATATAATCATATTTCAAACATTCCTTTTCAACGATGTCAGAGTACAAAATGACATTATTATTTATTTGATTTTGTAAAAATACTTTTATCCCTAAAAAAATTATTTAAAAGACCAAAATACCCACTGCAAGTTTGCCTTTTCCAAATAAGTGGATTCATCATGTCGAGATCACACAAGCCCAACACCTTCACCAATCACCACCCATTGGAAATACTCCTCCATCCTTTGTCACTTTCCTAATGTGGCATCAATTTTTTTTTTCTCCTAAATGGTGTTGAGATTGTTTTGGCCAACAATATGATCCAGATTTAACAATAGCAAGTTAGCAACACTATTTTATTTAAAAGATATTTATTTATTTATGCTTGATATTTTAAAAGATGAAATTCAAAAAAGTCTTGCACGTAATTAGTAAAGAAGAGAAATTTTTTACCAGTTGACTTCTTTAGAGATGTAGACTTTGATAAAACAAGCCATTTGACTACACTTCAGAATCAATCAAGGCAAAGTGTTGTTAACAAATATCTTATTTATTTGGTGATTGTTCACCATCTCTACGAAATCCTATGCCTAATCAAATATAAAAATAGATATGCACCAGTTTTACCACCAACATCTTTATTCAAATAGTAATGAAATTGGGTACTACCTGAGAGATACATCCACCAAGTCCCATGGCGTCAAAAAATTGATGGAAGGTGAGGGCAGCTACAAGAGGCTTTATTGTTTTGGGAATTTTAGAGGCACCCAATGAAATTCCAATGATAATCGAGTGAACCACAATTCCCAATTCCAAAACTTACAACAAAATTTCAACTGGCAATGGTGGTGAGGTGAGGGTGTTGGGTAATTAATGGGGTAATTTCGTCTTTTTATAATTATGATATTTTAGATTAAATTAAAGATATTAAAAAAATGAGGGTAAAAATGTTATTTCACATTTATTATGACAATGTTAATAAAGGAAAAATGATTTGGGCTGTTAGTAATAATAATTTTAGAAAAATATTTTAATGTGATATTTAGTTAAAGCTGAAGGGGTGTCAATGAAATTAATCTTAAAATATATTTCAAAATAATAATGATTTTTTTTTTTAATTCTCTCTCGTATGTGTGTGTGTGTATATGTTAAATTCAAAACAAATCTCTATGTTACACCAAATGTAATAGTGAGGAAGAGTTATTAATTTACAATTACGGGTGAATAGGTAAGTATTTATTATTTAATTAATTTTATTTGTTATCTGGTCAAATAAAACACATACTCTCTTTAATTACTTTAATTTATTTCTATATATATATAGCCCTTATAGTGATATTAAATAATTTGGAATCAGCATTTGCAAGACGTGTAAAAATGGATAGTGGCATCTGGTTATTAATTGAGCAGAACAAAATACAAATTGAGGTAGGGTCTTCTTCTGTTGTGGCACATTAGAAATCAATCAAGCCGTCCATCTTAAAATCAATCTGATCGAGATCTTGTAAATACATACGATTTAAAAAATTGTTATTGTTAGATGTATATATATGATTCAATTTGTTGGGTTCGAATCTAATGATTATCCTGATCCTGATAATTAATTTTGTGGCACATGGTCTTATTGAAAAGTCTCTTTTAAATTAGGTGTTTTTGACTTGGTTTCATTATCCTAGCCTTCAGGAAAAGGTAGTTGTTGGGTCACGGTCACGACCTCAGGACTTTGACGTATTACTAAATACAAACCACACCATCCATTTCCAAACAACATGGTGATTTAGTCAAAAATAAGAATGGTCTTTAATTAACAAATGAATGATGACAAAAGGATCAATTCTATTTTACTTTTTATCTTCATAGTCAATTTGTATTATCACTTAAATTTGTTTGTATTTTTTATTGTAAGATTATAATATCTAATAACCGGCTCTTGTCGTTTAAGAATGTGTTATTCTTATCAAGTTTGCATATTTATCTTTCGATGTTAATAATTTTTAAGATGCGTAAAAATAATTAAGAAATATTAACACATATAAGTCACAATATCTCCCCTGAACGATGTGATGTGAAACGTCACATTTCCCTTTTGAAAGATCAAAATAACCATTTTCTAATAAGCGGCAAGAAATTGAAATTTTGAAATTGAAGAAAATTTTAATTCAATTTTATGAGGTACTTTTCTTTAATTCCACAAATCTCAATTTCAAACTCTAATTCCATATCTGCGAAACATAGCCTAACAATTTTTCTAAATCTTTTTACCTATTATTTTAGTACATTATTTATGCAAAACGACTATGTTAGGATTTTTCATTTCAAAGAGATAGTCTCCTTTGTATATTTTTGTAGATATCCCCTGTTTTTTTAGTATGAACTTGATCAATCCATATCTCTAAAATTAGGGGGTATCACAGTTGGTATCATAGCACTCCAGGTTCAAGTGTCTCTAGGTGTCTTTCATTATGTGACTTCCACGTTGCGCCTTTTATATTAGTCTAAGTAACAAATCAGATATGAATTCACTTGCAGAAAATTCGTGGAATTATCGAATCGGATCGAGTAAAATGTTTATCAAATTTAGACCGGTTCAGGCTAAATCCAATCCGATCTGAATTCGATCCGTTAACGAGTCTAGTTGAAATACATAAATAGATAGTCTAAGCTAGCTTGTTTCAGTCCTGCCATGTGGTTGGTTGCAGTGTCAACATTTTCATTTTTTCAGCCGCAAGAAATTGAGAAATGAACTCTCAATATTGGGATACATTGCAACCATAAAGAAGCCTATGCACTCCTAATAATAATAACAATAATAAGATTATAATAATAATAATTATTATTATTAAGATTTAATTGAAGATTATTATCAATTAAATCACTTTTGCTTGTAGAATTCCTTCAATTTGACATTACAAAAAACAGATTTTATTATTATTTTTTTGAGAAAGGAATTCTAAGATTTTTTTCCTAAAGATTGAAAAGCCTATTTTAGGGCTCTCAAAAGCTCCTTAAAGTTGTACCATGATTAGGATAAAAAGTGCAAGTGGTGGTTCACGACAATGAGTCATATCCCACAGAATTAGCTACTTGATATGATAAATGTTAGCTTTATGAATAAATCATAGTATTATAAAATAGTAGTAATATGCAATCCTGCTCCTAGGTAAACTTATAGAACCAAATAAAAAGTGTATTGTGATGCACGTGTATTGTTCCCATTATCGATCACCTGTCTTCTCACCTCACTTGCATTAGGAATCAACTGTAGCTAGCAACCATATCACCAGATTCACCGCAATAAGGATTACATTTGTACCGTTTGATCTTTGCCGTTGATAAATTTTATGATGGTGAATTTTACTATTATAATGATGAAATAATGTATATTTTTATTTGTTTAATTATGAATTATCACCATTATAGAAATAAAATTCTATCATTTATCTATAAAATTTTTTAATTACAAAAAAATGACGAGACGGGGGATGATTCCAGTACCTAAATCTATCACTATCATAATTAACAATCAAACACTATATATTTACTTTAATGAAGGATAAATTATACCGACTTCCACTTAGGTTTGGGCTTACACAAAGGATCAATCATTCATCATTTATAATTTTAACATCCTATGATATTTGACAGATATGCTCAATTGCATCCTTAACAAACATAGTGTTGACTAATTTTTATAAAATGATAATGTTATTTATCTCTGGTATAAAATGTAATATATTATATTATTATAATATAAGAACATTACTGACTTTTCACACTTAAATTATTTTTTGATAATCAAATAACGGATTTAAAAAAGGTTAAACGTATAAAATCTTTAACGGTCTACGTAAATATAGAAGGTTAATGTAATTTACCTTACAATAAATTAACTAATAGCTTCCCCTCTAAGTCATAGGGACATCCTGTTGCTGTCATAATAATAATAATAATAATAATAATAATATTTTAAGCAAATAATAAAAATCTTTTGGCTCATGCATTCGAAAAGTACATGAAAAATAATAAAATAATAAGTTAAAACATGTGAGTTTCTTTAATAATGACGTAAAGGTGGAGTGGGCTACCCATATTCCTTTTTCCATTATTAACGCAAAGCATTTCTTAATCCGAAACCCCCAAAATGTGTCATTCTTCCATTTCCTTTTCTTCTTTCTTTTGTTTGGATACAAAGCTTCGGATCTCATTTCATGTGCATTTGTTTCCCGGTCAATCAACCCAAATTCACCTTTCTCTTCTTTTTTATCATTTCCTTCTATCACGGAAAACTTATGCCTTTCTCAAGAGGAATACAATCACCCCCCTAATTTAGGTCCTCTCTTTCTCATTCGTTTTTTTGGGACTTTTCATTCATGCTTTAAGTTTGTTACTTTTACGCTAGTTTAAAAGCTTGTGATTCTTTTACAATACATTCACTCATGTATCTACTATCCTTACAATCTTGGCAGATCCCAATGAAAGCAAATAATTACTACTAAAATAGATGGCCTTTTTTCGTTTTTGAATTTTGATGAAGTGTAGTAACATGGGAATTGGGATAATGTGTTCTCCTCTCCTGAGTCATACCTAATCAAATCTAGGTCTGTAATGTTAGACAAAATATTTAGGATTTTCTATCATTTTTTATAATTGGTTATTAGTACTAAATAATGGAGTGTACACACACACACAAAAAGGGGAGGTTGGGAACAAAAAGCTTTTTTTCTTTCTCAAGAGGGAAATCAAATTCACATATCTCCTGTGAGACTTAAACCTGTGAGTGAAAATTTAATATATTCATAATGGATGAGCGAATGCATATGTGGTGAGTGGAGTTTGTTGGTGTGGGATTTGCCACATGGCAAGCCCCTTGGCTAGCGAAACACTCTGCACACACATAATGCGGTGAGTGGAGTTTGCCACGATATTTGTTATCGTAGGGTTTGCCACATATCAAGTCCCTTGTCTAGCAAAACACTCACCACACAAAGAGAATATTATGGCTAGTCCGCCTACCTCCCTCCCTCCTCTTTCTCTCCCTCCCTACCCTTTTTCCTTTAAAACCAAATTAAAAATACAAAATGTAATATAAATAGCTAGTCCAACACCACCATAGAAGCGAGCTACGCTAAATCATTTAATCGCGCCAATCCATTACCTTGACATGCTTCTTTATATTTATAAAGGTGGAAAACTAATATGCCCCCCTCAGCACCGATACTCCTAAAATAGATGGACCGAAATAAATATTGAGGTTGGAGTTCATGTAAAAACAAAACATTTGATGCACTATTTTATTATTATTATTCAATATTTGATGTGTTATTTAAAGACAATAGTCACAATAGGAGTTTGGATAAGAATTAAAGAATATTAAACTCTCCAAATGTAGAAAGCAACTTGCCATTTGATGCAAATATTGCATAGAACAAGATTCCAATCTATTTCAAGTCGCGTGTGCTTTGAAATTTACTTCATCCAACTTATGTATATAAGGACAAGTGTACATAACACTCTTAAAGAATACTCTATGTAGCAATTTTACCTTTTATTTTAAAAAAATATGCAAAAAATATTCCTAATTTTTCATATTATGCAAAAATATTCCCTTTGATATAAATTAGTGCGTTAATACCCATTTTGCTCTTTTACTCTTCAGAAAATACTTAAGAGGGGTATATATGCTACTAATCTCATAGTATATGGGTGTTATGTACACATTACCTTTTTTTTTCTATATAATTTAGTCAACTTTGGGTTTAAATTTGTCAGAGGGACCTATTTGTACAAGATTGAAACTTTAGGGATATTTTTTGCACGAGATGTGTATCCTTTAATAGTGTCATTTTCAGTCATTTTACAAAATTATTTATTTTTATATATTTTATAAAATGGTTCAATAAAGGTAATTTAGTCAACTTTAGGTTTAAATTTGTCAGAGGGACCTATTTACACCAATACAAATAATTTATAAGCTTTTGTGAACCATTGTGAAATGAATGAAATTTTTATATTGATTGATTGTATCAACGACTTGGCATACTCGTTGTAACCAATAATTTTTTTTTCAATTAATGAGGTATTTAAATTTTTTTAAGTATTTATTAATCTTTCCAAATACATACTGTCCCTTCTCAAATAAATTGAATAAATAATTAATTACTGAAACCAGTAAACCAGAAAATATTTAAACTCGATTGATTGTCCTTAATTTTTTTGGGTCAGTAGTATAATTAATAATAGAATATCATTTAATTACCCAGTCAATCTAGATTTTAATTCTTTTTTTTACTATGTAACGATATTCTTATGTTACAGAGATAAATGTGACCTATTAGATTTAGAAATCTGATACTTCCATTGTTTATTTAAACAGTCAAGTTGCATGCTTATGGATTCTTTAATTGTGGATCATATTAATAGTCAAGGGTCCCACTAAAGATTAATATGGTATTAGCACATGGAACTTTCTGCGTAATGCCCAAACGCACCCAATCACCAAACTTTATAATGCCGGCAGCTCCCCCATACATATATGTTGTACAACTTGTATGTCTATTAATTATTTTTGTTATATATATATTTTATAAATAAAATATAAAATTAAACGACTCATTATCCATTTCAACATAAAATTAAAAAGTTTGATGTTGATACATTGTTTGAAGGATAAATTCTTTTACAAGAATACCCTTGTCATATGAAAATCATTCTTCCTATGAATGGAATCAATAATTTTTTTTAAATCTTATTGGTTAGTATTTTAAATTGATGTCAACTACTTTTTAGAATATTTCACTTCTTGGTAACAAATTTATGTCATTGAGAGATTCTAAATGATTTTCACTAAAAGGGGGTTTATGTCAAGCTTAAGCAAAGTGTTGGGAAGGAAGATAGATCTATTATTCTTTTCTGATTATTATTTTTAGTTTATGCCAGTTATATTTTAGATATATACAAGGATATTTTCATAAAATTGAGTTATTCTTTTTAAATTATTCCACTGGTTAATCAGAAATTTATGTGTACATGATTTATTTATTTTTAATAAATTAATCACTTATGGTTATGGTGTACCATGAAAATGAATAAATAAATAAATTAGACCTAATAGTTTATTCTTATTTTTATAAAATAATTGTTATTAGTCATATTTTTACAATTATATCCGACAATGACTTTTATGATTCAGATAATAGATTATATATATATATATATATATATATATATATATATTGATTATCTACTTTAAAAACTTAAACATTAAATATAACTTAACTTTAATATTTAAATCCTCCTAACAAATTTTCACATCAAAACATAAAAACCTAATGAGAAAATATAAAAACTAAAAATTGAGTTAACTGTGGGCATCACATCACTACATAAGTTAAAACATTGTAATATTTTGCAAAACTTGAAGGGTTTATCTGCTAATAGAAAAGCTTTTACCTTTTTCCGGGCTTCAAATACGTCATCAACAATATTGTGGGACCCATCGGTCCATCTGCGATGTCGCCAAGTGTCGTGATGTACACGTGGCAGAAGATCAAAGGTCTATTTATAAGAGGCGTAGCATAGTGGCCGACCTATGTGCCAACGTAGAGACGCAAAGAAGATCCAAAACACCAAAGTAGCGTAAGCGCCAAACCCTTCCTCTCTCTCCACACCAATCGGATGGCTGATAATAAACCTCAGCCACCACCGTTGATCTCAACCGTTCATGGGTTGTCTTAGCAAAATTTTGTTTAGTAGCCTTGTCCTCTAATCTAGTCTAGGCGTTGTTGTGTTGTTGAATTCTAAGTTGCAGGTTGTTTAGTCTCTCTCTCTAGCATTTTCCCTCTCTCTCTCTAGCATTTTCATCTGTAATTTTCCCTGCAAATTCTCCATTATCATTAGCAGAATCTAACACTTGCCTAACCAATACACACATTGTTTCGATAACCATTTCACCAATCCAAATCCAAATCCAAATCCGACAATGGTAATGTTGATTATCTATATATACAGTGAGTCCTATATATATATATACAGTATTATTGGTAATGTTGTGTTAAGATATATATATATATATATATATATATCTGTGTATCGATTATGTGTATCTAATTGTGTGTATCTAATTACAGGACACAATGCTGGTACCTCCATGGCTAGAACGATTGCTAAACACAGCCTTCTTCTCCATTTGCCGGACACACGGTGACGCCGCCAGGAGTGAGTGCAACATGTACTGCTTAAATTGCAATGAAAATTCATTTTGCTTTTATTGCAGATCATCAAAACACAAGGAGCATCAAGTGATACAGGTGGGTACATATATATACAATGATTTTGGTGTATTATATCACTCACATTATATATATGATCGATTTTGGTGTAATTGATTTTTTTGTTTAATTCCTGGATCAGATAAGGAGATCTTCATATCATGATGTGGTGAGGGTGTCAGAGATTGAGAAGGTTTTGGATATAAGTGGAGTACAAACGTATGTGATAAACAGTGCAAGGGTTTTGTTTCTGAATGAGAGGCCTCAACCAAAGACAGGGAAAGGAGTTTCTCACATTTGTGAAATCTGTGGGAGGAGCCTCTTGGACCCTTTTCGTTTCTGTTCTTTGGGCTGTAAGGTTAGCATTTCTCTTCCATGTATCTTCATACATACATACATACATTGATCATCACAAATCATCATACATAATGTGGTCATAAAGGCATAAGACTCATAAAACCGTCACCATCCTCGTCATTATCATCCACAATAATTCTCATCATCATCAAATGGTCACAACCCATTATCATGTATATTGATCCACATTCATATATATATATATATATATATATATATATATAGAATGGGTTTTATTCACCATCACTATTATCACATAATTAACCCGTCCAATAGCCATCATTATCATCATCACCATCATATGTTTATGTTAATAATTATTTGCCATTTTTTTTTTAAAATTTACTAAAATGGTTTTTTTTTTTTTTTTTTTTTTTTTTTTTTTTTTTTTAATAAAATGAGTTAGCTTGTAGGAATAAAGAGAAATGGGGATGCAAGATTTACATTAATGGGAGGTGAAGGGGGGATGTCAAGAAGAGTGATATCATCATCATCATCAAGAGAGGATGAAGAATTGCGTGAAGGCTCACAACAAGACATGTACCCGCCCACGCCACCTCCACCTCCTTCTACTGCAAGGAGAAGAAAGGGCATTCCACATAGAGCACCCTTTGCCTCCTAATTATTTTAATCATATATATATATATATATATATATATAAATATATATATACACAACTCATTGTTAATTATTTGTTGCACAAATATTAACCCTTCTTTTGGGGGGGTTACTGTCCCAAAACAATTGTATTCGTAGGTCACCCTATGGGATAGGGATGAACAAAAGGGTGATAAAGGTTTAATTCTCTTTTGTTATAGGGTGGGGTGGGGTCCAAATCAAAATTAAAGAAACAAAAGGCAATAATAATGCAACATTGTTATTGATAGTTGCAAGGTTGTACATGCAATTAATTAAGAAATATAAAAAGCAAGTCTTTGTGGAGTCCGTTTTATACTTTTCATTGGCCCACCAACCCACATGGGCCGTTTACAAAAGGAAACAACTTTTTATTGTTAAATACACGTAACGGGGCAAATCAACTTTTATATGATTGTTACCTAGCTTGGATTTCTCAATGAAATTCCATTTCTTTATTGTTTCCTTCTTTTTTTAATATTTAAGATGATAGGTATGTGGAGAGAGAGATTGGAGCCGAACAAGTTGGTGTATAAAAAGAATATTGCATATAGATTTCACAGCCTAGGATAAGGACCCATTGATACTTAAGTAATTGGTGTTATACACCGTATATTAGCATTTCCACACACACATATATATATAATGATATTAATACTCTCTTGTGATTTGTAAAAATTACATGAATTTTTAAAGAGATATATAAATAAATAAAACCAGACAGACCACATGGACAATCAAAACAGTTTCATCAGCTCTGCATATAGTAGTAGGAGTTATTGATTGTTAATTCATAGATTATAATTAAATAATAAATAAATAAAATGGAAATATAATATGGTGGTGCAAGATAGATAAAGTGAAAATAAACTTGTAATGGCAAGTTATAGTAGGAGTACGGCAGAAAAATTGGTGAACACCCACCATATCAGAATAGAAATGGTTCCAAAAAGTCAACCAGTTTAGTTTATATTCTTGTTTTTGAAGTTTTTAACACATGGTAGTATGGTACTAGTTTATATTATTATATAACCAGATATAATGTGATTGGGTTAATGCTTCCCTTAATTGGCGACATGCTCAAACAACAGTTAAAATAGTAGTTGTTGTTCTTAAAATAACAGTGCTTTGAAAAAGAAATTAATCTTCAATTTGGTTAAATAAAATGGGGGGTTAGTGTAACGAGAAATTGATGAACTGTACATGTGCGTGTTGCCTAATGTTTCACGTAATAATGTGCCGGAAAGAGAGAATAACACATTTTGCACGTGTACTGTGTCACATCTGGTCTCACGCAGGTGATATACGCTAATCCAGCAGCTACTATAATATTTTGTGAAAAACTCTCCTCTTGCATTTATGGGAAGAAACGTGATCCTAGCTGAAATTCTTCAAAATATTTGACACTCGTGACGAGTGCGTGAATTTCACTGCGTGTCATCAATTCATTTTCAATATAATTGTTTTGTGTTTCAACATATTATGCCACGTTATAACACCAATGTGCTCCATCAAGGAATATAATGTGCTCCATCAAGGAATCAGAATGTTTTTAATTCGTATAGCATCGGACCGACTCTAACATGAAAATGATATATATATATATATATAGTTGAGTTTAGAACGAATTGGGTTAAATACTAAATCTACCCCATGGCCAACTCGAGACTAATTTTAATTTCTACCATATTCACTACTCCATTTAGGAGCTTACCAAATATGTTCTGCTAGAAGTAGGTAGACGAGGTGAAAGAAATTTTCACCCGAATACTAGAAGCATGTAGTAACGAGTGGACGCTTGTCTATTTATTCAAAAACTCAAACTGTTAAGTAGCGATGCAAACCCATCCCTTTATATCCATGTCACTTCTCATCCTGATCTGATGTGGACAATTCTCGCCTTGTAACATTCTCCCCTACCTGAATCCACGCAACACCCTCATTGCGATCAGACCACCTTGCCTACCCGGGGTGAAGACTTGGACGCCCTTCGGGCCGGACACTTGGCTTGACATTGGATCAAGGACTGGATCTGGCTCTGGCTCTGATACCAAAGGGGTGATCGCTTTTTCATTTATCCAAAATCTCACTCCGTTGTAGGACAAGTCTCCTTTTATAATGCATGTCCATTAGAAGTTTTTGAATCTTGGGTTCACTGTAAATTGATGACCATGGCTAACAGGCCCAAATGACCTTTCTAGATCTGAGCGTCAGAGAAATTGAAATTATTCCTAGTTGTAAGTTGGGCTGGGCCACCCAAGATGAAGTCAGCTCATGGGTTGGACCTGAATTTGCAATTATATACTCGTATTTTAGTAGATATAATGCATTTAAAAAAAAAAAAAAAAAAATCATGAATTTTAATCTAATTAATTTACAAGCAAAAAAATATAGATATAATAAATGTGTTACATAAATAACAAAAAGGGTTTTGAAGAAAAATGACAGAAACGAGTATTCCACATTGATGCGAAGGTTGTAGATTATTATTGCTGGGAAAGTTTGGAAGATTTTACAACATCGGATAATTTGTATGTATGTATAGAATATATTAAAATATACTACATATATTAGAAGCGTACGAAGTTTTGTAGATATTCGTGATATTCGTTTAGAAAGCTTTAGAGAGTAAACAAGAGTCCTATATATAAGATATGGATATCATTTGTAACCAACAAGCTACCACCATCAAAAGTGTAATAAACCGAGTGAGACCAAGAGATTGAGAACTTGTGACATAATCCTATAGGTGAATTATTGTACATGTGAATTTCACCCATCACCAGTAAACCATTTTGTAACTAAACCATTTTGCTAGTTAATTGGCTGTCGAATGTCTTATTCTACAGCATTTCGTTTGATTTCAGATGATTTCTGATAGGAGATCAAATATCTGCAGTTTTGCCATTTCATTTCATTTGATATCATATAGAATATTTAACACTGCAATTAAATTCAAAACGAGGTGAATTGACTCAGAATAATAAATTTGTATTTAATAAAAAATTAAGATTAAGATTAAATCTTTAATTTATTGTTTTTATCATTTTCAAAATACCATATGATTTTTTAAAGTATACTGAAAGCAAAGTAGAAGATTGTTTTTGTCATTTAGAAAACAATATATTTTCTAATTTCAGAGAATTAAATTTTTTTTACAAAACTAAAAATCAAAAAATTGTACAAAAACTCTAATTCCGTCTTTTTATTATTTTTTATTTTTATAATTTTCTGGAAAACTATTTTTTATTTATTTTTTGAGTTCTTTATGCAAGAGCAGCCCAAACATTTCGACAAACGTAAATCATGAGCGACAAAAACAAATCAAAATGATTTAACAATGGGAGTGGTGCAGTTGACAACAAGCAAATTTAAAGACATACAAGAAACTACCATAAAAATAAATAAATAAATAAATAAATAAAAAAGTACAAAACTTGAGGGCTTCCTAAAAGAATAGGAAAAATTATAAATAAGTGGACTTTGGGAGGTTTTATTACCCGTAAATGAAGTCAAAGTCAATTTTTTTTTAAATTTATGGACTTGGACCAAAATCTGATATGGATATGAAAAAATATTGTTCATTTGCCTAAACTATCCTTAGTATTTTGGCAAAAGTGCAAAAAACATCTGAACTATTCACTTTGTTGCAAATAACCTCTGAACTATAAAAGGTTGCATAAAAGACCCTGAGATTCACCGGATCAACTTTTCCGGCATATGTTGATTTGAAATGACCGAAATAACCTTACTTATTACATTATATAAAATAATAATAATAATAATAATAATAATAATAATAATAAAAGCCTAATTGTAAAATACCAATTATACACCACTAACTTGAGTTGCCCTAAATTCTGAATTCGTTGATTATGTTAGAGAGAGATGGAGGCATAGATCAAAATTTAGGGTTTTTTAGTTTAGAGAGAGATGGAGACACAGATCAAAATTTATATATAATTCAATCGACAACACTAGTTCCCTTATCCGAACTTCCCATCTCTTCTCTCTCTATATATAATTCACTTTGCTATCTCTAATTCGATTCTCCGATCAAAATTCTCTACTCTCTCTATTTGTTACTACTGTTGATGATCCTTGACGAGCTCAGAGACACAGTTGCCCAATTTCTCTAATTTCTTTCTCTAAAAATCAAAACCCTAAAATCTAAACAGAACGAATTATAGACGATATCCTTGAAAAACTAGAGAGATAGCGATTGCTTAGCCACTGAAAAAGAAGAGAGAGAAGTGACGATATGTCCAGATGATTCGAAAACCGCCACATTCGGAAGATCCGATAGGTTTGATTGGGTTTAGGGCTAGGGTTTCCATTCAAAATTAGGGAAATTTCATCTCTGGAGTTTCTGTAACAATTCCACAAATTAATCGACTCTCGGTTTTAGAACCAACAATATTTTCTCTCTTTAAACTCTCTCCCTCAATAAATTTGTATAAATCTCTACCAATTTTTTCGCTGCAGTGTTTGTGTTGAGGTTTGAAATCGCCGGTAACAAGCAGAGGAAATCACACGAGTTGTGTTTGCTACATCTCCCTTTAAATTATATATAAAAAAAACCCTAAGTTTTGATCTATGCCTCCATCTTTCTCTAACTCTCTATATTTCTCTCTTTTTTTCTCTCTCTCTAACATAATCAACAAATTTAGAATTTAGGGCAACTTAAGTTAGTGGGGATATAATTGGTATTTTATAATTAGGCTTTTTTTTTTTAATATAATGTAATAAGTAAGATTATTTCGGTCATTTCAAATCAACATATACCGGAAAAGTTAATCCAGTAATCTCAGGGTCCTTTATGCAACCTTTTCTAGTTCAGGGGGGTACTGCAACAAAGTGAATGGTTCAGGGGTTTCTTTGCACTTTTGCCTAGTATTTTCGAATATCACTTTTGTACATGTAAGTACTACTTTTGTGCATATGGGCATTACTTTTGTGCATGTAAGTACTACCTTTATGCATATGGGTATTATTTTTGTGCATATAAGTACTACTTTTGTGATCAAATGTAGTCTTATGATTAGAAGTACCACTTTTGTGCACATATGTACCACTTTTATATAGGTAAGCACCACTTTTGTACAGAGGTATCACGTTTATGTATGCAAGTACCACTCTTGTGTATGCAAGTACCACTTTTGTGCAGAACATTTTGATTATTTGATTTGCACAAAAAATGGTACCTATGTGTGCAAAAGTGATACCTCTATATACAAAAATAGTAGTTATACTCACAAAAGTAATACCCAAAGATACTAAGGGTCCGTTTGGCATGCGCTTTGTTTTTGGCGTTTTATTTTTGGTTAAAACAGAAATAGTGTTTTTGTTGTAGGAGTGTTTTGGAAAAAATTCAGAAGCACATTTGGGAACTATGTTATGCTGTGGAAATGTAAGAAACAAAAACATGTTTGTCACTCTAACTGTTACAATGTCACATTTTATGAAATAATAAATTTATATCATTAAATTTTATAAGTTATTTACAGAAATGTCAAAAAACACATTTTAATAATTCAAATATTGTCAATATTTTTTTCATATAAAAGCCCTAAATTTTTTTTGCAATAACCTATTTTCAATTTTATTATCCTGTTTACAAATTGTTTGCAAATCCTGCTAGGAAATCTTGTTTCAGTCATTATCTTCACAAATATTTATAACTAAAATTCATAAAATAAAAATAAAAAATTATATAAAAAAGATTATAAATTAAAACAGACTTAGCCAAAAAAAAATTATTTCAATAGATTAATTGATTTAGCCAAAAAAAAAAATATTAAAACAAGAATTACAGACCTTGATTTCAAATAGATTTAGCCAAAAAAAAAAAAAAAATTATTTCGATAGACTAATTGATTTAGCCAAAAAAAAAAAAAAAATTAAAACAAGAATTACAGACCTTGATTTCAAATAGATTTAGCCAAAAAAAAAAAATTTTATTTCAATAGATTAATTAATTTAGCCAAAAAAAAAAAAAATTAAAACAAGAATTACAGACCTTGATTTCACATAGAAAAAAAAATTAAAATAATCTGAAATGATACGTCGATATGGGTTTTGAGAGTTGAGAGACAGCGAGCCAGCGGCGGAAACTTGCGAACGGCGAACTCGAACTGGAACAGCAGGCGATGGAAACTAAAAGATATGGGTTTTGATTTTTTAAACAATCTGAAGTGATATGCCGATATGGGTTTTGATATAGGTTTGAACTTTTGATTCATGCACTAAAGTAAATGGGTTTTGAACTTCTGATTCTTGTGGACTACAGTAGTTTGCAGTTGCAGAGACAGAGAGATGGCAAGTTCAGAGTTGAGAACAACAATAGAGTTGGAGGCGATTGGGGAGACTGAGATGATTTACGAGTCGCCCAAAATCGCCCAAAGAGAAGCTGCACCCAAAATCCTAGAAAATGACCAATTTTGGCTTTTATATGTGTTTCCTCCGGTACAGTTAAATGAGCAAATTGTTTCCTCCGCTACAGTTGAATGAGCAAATTATTTCCTCCGCCACAGTGTAATATAGCCCAAACAGTACAGAATCAACCAAAAACACCAAAATGGTGTTTCATATTTTGGGCCCATTTTCGAAATTGTTTTGCAATTGTTTAAAACACAACAAACCCAATCAAACATGTTTTGGGCTTGAAAATGGCTACTATAGCAAGTCTAAAACAAAACAAAACAAAACACATGCCAAACAACCTCTAAGAATAGTGTGGGCAAATAAACAGTGATTTTTCATATCTATATTAGATTTTGGTCAAAGTCTATAAATTTAAAATGTGTTCGACTTTGACTTCATCTCTTAGATAATAAAACTTTTCAAAATCCATTTTTATATAATTTTTCCAAAAGAATACGTAGGAATACATGTAGATTACATGTACAACACATACAATATTGCAAAGCTGACCTGGTCCTAAACCATGCAATGAATAGAGAACAAAGGACAAATCAAGCAACACGTGAGCAGAACACTGTTGGACTATTGACCAGCTCATCATCAACTTTATCAAAAGACGTTGCTTTTGCACAACAATATATAATAGGTCACTCACCTTTCAAAATATATATATATAGGTCACTCGTGCTAAGACAGCAATATTATAATTAAATATACATCTAATGTATTACTAATTAATTAACGACACTTTGATGATAACAAGAGTACTGTGTACAATAATTACTGATAATAAAATTATAAAAGCAGCCATTCAGAGAACAAAGGCTAGCTAACGAACCATTAGGACTTATATATACTAATTAATAACAACAGTACAGAGTGTGCGTATTATATATATAGATAAGTAGTACAGAGTATATACGTATATTATATATGAGCCAGGAAAGTGTGAAGAGGGTACAGTTAGGTCTCTCGTGTTGTAATTGAATATTTTAAAAACATAATTACCAACGGCTGAACAAAAATAAATAATATACTACGTAGTGACAATTTTTTCAGTCTCTTAAACCAACCGCCGAGAGGTGATATGGTATTAATTTAGTTGTTTTGAATTAAAAATGTTATTGTTTTTATTGTCAACTCTTCACTCTTTGTGTAATAGCTAGTAATAATGTATAACGGCAAAAGAAGAAAGCTATGTTATACAACAATCACCTTACTATGACATTCTTAGTGAAGAACAAAAATATTTCAAAAACATATATTTGAATTATTTTTCCCAGAAAGCAAACATTGTTGCAGAATTTTTTCGTGACTTTGGCAATAAAATATGGTCATCATAAAAAGTTATCACAAAATGTTTGGCGTTGTCGAATAGGCGGAAAAGAAACTTGTGACAAAAATTAAAATTCATTGCCCAAAATATATATATATATATATACACACACACACACTTCACTGTTGGAGTGAATGCTGATTCTAACAATAGTAATGTTGCTTTGACAAGTGGTAGTATAAAAAAAGTTGTCACACAAAAGACTCCACGAGACCATGGGGACAAGTTTGGTCTATTTGTTGGAGGGTGCTTAGTCTTACCCTGATAGATCCAACAAGCGAGGGCCTAACAACAAACAATGCTTTGCTATCAATAGGTTTTATGGTTTTCAAATTAAATAGGTTTTAGTAGACTAACTTATTAGATACCATTAATTATTGTATTATTATCATACAACCAATATTGTATTATTATTATACAATAAAGTATGAATAAATGTTTAGGTCAATGGCTATCTTGCAATGATGCACGGATAATCTTAGTTTTTATGTTTAGGGTGGTGTAGAGGATAAATTTCAACGCTTTTAAATAATTATTTTTAATTTTTATGTAGTGAATATATATATATAAATCCACGTGTATTGCAAAGATAGGTGCCGGTCTTGATATTGCCAGTGATGTGTTCTACTTTAAATTACGTGAAGAATAGATGAACTTGAAAGTGACAACTTTAATGGTATACAGTAGTGATCCCCATTTTATATCTTACTTTTAGGGGAAGAAGTAGTTTGTTAAACCCTAATGTTAAAAGGAGTATTTGTCTCGCGTAGAATTTGAATGAAAAATAAAAATAATATAAATAGGTGATTATATAATATTATTCAATTATTTAATCTTTTGAATAAATCGACAGCGCCCACATATTACACCTAGTCACTTGATATTTAAAAAATACATGTTTCTTTTTCTTTTTCTTTTTCTTTTTTTTTTTTTTTTTTTGTAGTTGCTCAAAGAGGAGGATATTCATGTAATGCATGGAGCCCGCTTTGGTGTACCTCGCGCCTTTGTATATGTTTTACTCAGTATATATACTTACCATTTTTTTTAGCAGATATTTACTTACTTTTTTTTTTTTTAAATCAAAGCAACAGATATATACTTACTTGACTATTTGGGGAAAAAGAAAAAAAGTAGTACCAAAGTTACCTAAAATTAAGCTTAATCAAATTTCTCATCTCATGTGTTAATTAATCAAAATTTTGATTCAATTATTTTTTATTTTTTTCTTGATAAATTAGAGGAGAGAAATTCGAATACAAATACTGTTTGGGAGTTCAATAGTTAGACTATATGTGTAATGACAAAATGTTAGAAAGAGATTGCACTTCATTAGCTGAGGTGATCACCAAAAGTCAGCCATACTATCCCATCATTTATACAAATATACATAATACTTACATGGGAAAGAGGACAATGTAGCATTTTTATAAATTCCACAACTTTATATAATATAATTGTGGTATGACTGACTGAATATTGTCAACGCATCGTTAATATGGAAACCAACAGTACATGGAAATTTCACAAATTAATTAATCCGAAGCCGGTTTCGGAAAACTGGTTAGCTACCATTGTCTTAATTAATTCCTTGAGTATCCCTTATAAATACACACCAATCCCTTCTCCATCAAAATCCTCACTAGCTTCATGTATATCAATATCTAGCTAGCTTCTTCTTAGAACACGGGTACTAGCTCTTCCAATCCTAGCTTCTCTCTCTAATATATATATATATATATATTGTATGTATGTTACAGGCCATTTGTGTGTATATATATAGATGTCTCCTGCTGGTTTGGTAATGTCAAGTGAGACTAATAGGGAGGATGATGAAAGCCAATACCAGAAAGGAGTGAAGAATTTATGTGAACATGGCATTACTAAAGTACCTAACAAGTACGTTTTGCCTGTTTCTGAACGACCAAATACAATATTTGATCATCAGCCCAACCTTAATGTTAATTTTAATTTGCCCATCATCGATTTCGCTGAATTACAAGGCTCCAACCGGTCCCAAGTTCTCAAGTCCCTCGCTCACGCTTGTCAACATTATGGATTCTTCCAGGTCTGTCCTAGTTCAATTAAAGTTAAGCTTATATTACGTTTAGGAGCACCAAATCCACGATTTGAACTCAAATTTCAATGATGATGGTTTTTAATTTGTGGATTGATGCAGCTGGTGAATCACAACATTGCTGACGATGTTCTAAGCAGTATGATGGAAGTGAGCAGAAGATTTTTTGAGCTTCCATTGGAGGAGAGAGAGAAGTACATGTCTGCGGATATGGGGTCGCCTGTTCGATATGGGACTAGCTTTAACCAAAGCAAAGATGGTGTCTTTTGTTGGAGAGACTTTTTGAAGTTAGTATGTCATCCCTTATCAGATGTCCTTCCTCATTGGCCTTCTTCTCCCTTCCACTTCAGGTCAGACACCTCACCTAACAATTGAATTAATACTCTCTCTCTCTTTCTAAAACACACACATACATGCATCAGCTGCGTGCCTTAAGCATGTTATGATATATATTACCAACATGCATGTCAACATATATATATATATATAACTAGTTTAATTACCTGTAACATATTATAGTATATATTAATAATGCTAACAACAAATTATTGAATGGCAATTTTACTAAAAAAAATTAATACTCGAACAGGGAATTGGCGGTTACCTACGCGAATCAGACCAAATTTTTGTTTCTAATGGTAATGGAGGCCATCCTAGAGAGCCTTGAGCTAACAACCACCAAGAACAAAACAGGGCATGATGATGACAAGGATGATAATATTTTAGAAGAATTCGAAGATGGAAGTCAGCTAATGGTGGTCAATTGCTACCCGCCATGCCCAGAACCAGACCTGACGCTAGGCATACCGCCCCATTCTGATTATGGGTTTCTCACACTTCTTCTCCAAGACGAGGTTGAGGGTTTGCAAATACAGTTCCAAGAAAAATGGGCCACGGTTGAACCAATTCCTAATGCTTTTGTCATCAATGTAGGCGATCATCTAGAGGTATACTATATGCCAAGTATCACAATTTACAACATTAACAACGTAGTCTTTTCTTAATTTTGAGGTCTGCTACATGAATTATATGTTTTCATTGCGCTTTATTTTGAGGGCATAAAATTTATCCACCTGCTAGTATATTACCTTCAACCTGAATTATATGTGTCCTTTTTTCCTAGTTGGTGTGATTGTGATGATTAATTTGATGATGTATGATCAGATATTTAGCAATGGGAAGTACAAGAGTGTGTTACACAGAGTTGTAGTGAATTCAATGAAATCTCGCATTTCAGTGGCTTCTTTGCACAGTCTTCCTTTCAAGAGCATGATTCAGCCATCGTCCAAACTCATCAATGGCGCGAATCCAAGACGTTACAAGGACACGAATTTTTCTGCATTTCTTGAATACATTGCATCTTGTGAACCCAAGAAGAAGAACTTCCTTGAGTCTAGGAAATTGAATTGAAATGATCGAGTTCTCTAACAAAGAGGGAAAATGAGAAGGAAAAAAAAAAAAGTCAGTATTTTTTGTGGTTGTAGTATCAATTATTTAAAAATTATTGGTGGGCTCGCAGACCAAATCAATGAAGTTAGATGAATTGTATTTTAATTTTGAAGTATAATAAAAGCTTTTAGTGCTTTCTTCCTTAGTCTTCAATTAACCAATGTCATCCAATTAAGCATCTCCTGTGCTCTCTTCCTTGTTCTATTAATCAAATATTGGATGTGTGATCAGTCTATTCATCAATATTTTTTTGCTGTGTTAATCGATTCAAGTTATGCTTGTATACATGCATGGGCAAAGTACACAAAATCCCTTCGATTTGTAGTATTTTCTAGGAAACCCTCTTATCTATTTTTTTACCAAGAACCCTCCCCCCCTCCCCCTCGACTTATAACCTTTTTTTTTCCAATAAATCTCTCTTATCTAGTTTTTACCAAAGAACCCCCCTCAACTATCCGAATGGGATAAAAGAGTTATATTTTGACCAAAATGTCATTTTATTTAAATCTTAATTTTCCCTAACTTCAAATATTTATATGTCACAAATCATATATTTAAAAATTATAAATAATATATGCACGGAAAGCTTATGAAATAAGGATTCTAGAAATATAAAATTTGTATAATAAACCTTCATAACCAGAGATAAATAAGCAATCTAAAATTTATTCCAACAATCTTATTTTAAAAATAAAATACTTGAGATATTAGCAAAAAAAAAAAAAAAAAAAGAATTATTCATTTACATATAGAGCCGAATATATAACTATACTATTATTAAATGTGCAAAGTGTTTCAGTATTTCAGTATTTATTTATTTATATAAAAAAAAATTTATTAATTGATATAAAAATAGTTTCTATAAAACTTTAAAAATTACCTAATAAAATCAATCACATTCTATATAAAACTCTTATTTTTAGTTATTTTTTATGGATAATTATAGTTTCTATAAAACTCTAAAAATTACCTAATAAAATCAATCACATTTTATATAAAACTCGTATTTTTAGTTATTTTTTATAGATAATTATCACAATATAACCGGCCCGGCCCAATTATGATTATGTCATTATCCGAAAAGGACACATGTCATCCTATTCATCCAAGAAGCCTATAAATAGAGGCATGGAGGAAGGAGGAAGGGGTACAAAAATTGAGAATTCTAGAAATTCAGAATTCTAGAGTAAAATACAGAAGCTCTACCAAAGAGTTTCACTATTTCAGTAAAATACAAAAGCTCTGTCAAGAGTTTTCAGTATTTATTTATTTATATAAAAAAAATATATTTATTAATTGATATAAAAAGAGTTTTTATCTATATTATTATTAGATGTGTAAAGAGTCTCATTATTTATTTATATAAAAAAATATTTATTAAATGATATGAAAAGAGTTTTTACTAAAACAAAAAAAAAAAAAAAAAAAAAAAAAAAAAAAATCTATAAAACAGTAAAATCTACATAATAAAATTTAAATTAACCTATTTATCTATTTATTATTATCCATTTTTAATAAAAGAAAATCTAATTAGACAAGATTTATTAATATAAAAAATATTTATTAATGGATATATAAAATAAAATAATTTTTATAAAACTCTACCACAAATTAGTTTTTATTATGAGTATCTTAATAAAATTAAAACTAATTAGATAAGTATATATTTAAAGAAAATAAAATAATTTCAATAAAACTCTATTACAAATTACCTATTTTATTATCAATAAAACTCTATCAACAAAGATATATTTAAAGAGTTTGTATAAAACTCTAACACAAATTACCAATTTATCAATTTATCATGAGTTTTTTAATAAAAGGAAACCTAATTAGACAAGTATTATTAATGTAAAAAATTATTTATTAACCGATACAAAAGGAGGTTTTTAAAGAGTTTTTAAAACACAAATTACCTATTTATCTATTTATTTTGAGTTTTTTTTTTACTAAAAGTAAATATAATTAGACAAGAATTATTAAAATAAAAAATATTTATTAATTGATATAAAAAGAGTTTTTAAAAGAGTTTATATTAAACTCTAACACGAATTACCTATTTATTTATTTATTACAAGTTTTTTAATAAAAGAAATCTAATTTACCTAATAAAACCAATCACATTCTATATAAAACTCTTATTTTTAGTTTTTTTATGGATAATTATAATTTTATAAAAATTTAAAAATTACCTAATAAAATCAATCATATTCTATATAAAACTCTTATTTTTAGTTATTTTTTATAGATAATTATCACAATATAACCGGCCCGGTCCAGTTATGATTATGTCATTATCAGAAAAGGACACATGTCATTATCCTATTCATCCAAGAAGCCTATAAATAGAGGCATGAGGAAGGAGGAAGGGGTACAGAAATTGAGAATTCTAGAAATCTAGAATTTCAGAGTAAAATAAAGAATTTCTATTAAAGAGTTTCAGTATTTATTTATTTATATAAAAAATATATTTATTAATTGATATAAAAAGAGTTGAATTTTAGATTAAAATACAGAAACTTTGTCAAAGAGTTTGAGTATTTCGATATTTATTTATTTATATAAAAAAATATTTATTAATTGATATAAAAAGAGTTTTTATCTATACTATTATTAGATGTGTAAAGAGTGTCAGTATTTATTTATTTATGTAAAAAAATATTTATTAAATAATATGATAAAATACTTAAATCTACATAATAAAATTTAAATTAACCTATCTATCTATTTATTATTATCAATTTTTTAATAAAATAAATCTAATTAGACAAGAATTATTAGTATAAAAAATATTTATTAATTGATATATAAAAGAAAATAATTTTTATATAACTCTACTATGAGTTTCTTAAAAAAATTAAATCTAATTAGACAAGTATATATTTAAAGAAAATAAAATAATTTCTATAAAACTGTATTACAAATTACCTATTTTATTTTCCATAAAACTCTATCAACAGAGTTTCTATAAAACTCTAACACAAAATACCTGTTTATCTATTTATTATGAGTTTTTTAATAAAAAGTAACCTAATTAAACAACAATTATTAATATAAAAAATTATTTATTAACTGATACAAAAAGAGGTTTTAAAAGAGTTTTTAAAAAACTCTAACACAAATTACCTACTTATCTATTTATTATTAGTTTTTAATGAAACTAAATGTAATTAGACAATAATTATTAAAATAAAAAATATTTATTAATTGATATAAAAAGAGTTTTTAAAAAAATTTATATTAAACTCTAACACAAATTACCTAATTATTTATTATAAGTTTTTTAATAAAAGAAAATCTAAGTAGACAAGAATTATTAATTGATATAAAAAATAAAATAATTTTTCTAAAATTCTACCACAAATTACCTTTTATTATGAGTTTTTTTTTTTAATAAAAGCTAATCTAATTAGATAGGAATTATTCAAATATAAAAATATATATTAATTCATGTAAAAAGAGTTAAAAAATATTTTCTATAATACTTTAACACGTATTACAAATTACAATTTTTTAATAAAAGAAAATCTAATTTTCAGAGTAAAATACAAAAGTTCTACCAAAGTGTTTCAGTATTTATTTAATTATATGAAAAAAAATTTATTAATTAATATAAAAAAAGATTATATCTATACTACTATTAAATGTGCAAAGAGTTTCAGTATTTAAGTATCTATTTATAAAAAAATATATTTATTAATTAATATGAAAAGTATTATTAAAAAAAAAAAAAAAAAAAACTCTATCAAACTCCAAAATCTATCTAGTAAAATTTCAATTAAATTATTTATCTATTTATTATTATGAAATTTTTAATAAAAGAAAATTGAATTAGACAAGAATTATTAATATAAAAAATACTTATTAATTGATATATAAAATAAAATAATTTTTCTAAAACTCTACCACAAATTAACTTTTATTATGACTTTCTTAATAAAATTAAATTAAATTAGACAAGGATATATTTAAAAAAAATAAAATATTAAATGTGTAAAGAGTTTCAGTATTTATTTATTTATATAAAAAAATTTTATTAATTGATATGAAAAGAGTTTTTATAAATAAAAAAAATAAAGGAAAAAAAAACTCTATAAAACTCTAAAATCTACCTAATAAATTTCAAATTAACCTATTAATCTATTTATTATTATGAATTTTTTAATAAAAGTAAATCTAAACTTTCAGTATTTATTTATTTATTTAAAAAATATTTATTTAATGTGGAAAGAGTTTCAGTATTTATTTGTTTATATAAAAAAAATATTTATTTTTTGATATGAAAAGAGTTTTTATAGAAAAAAAATATTTATAAAACTCTAAAATCTACCTAATAAAATTCAAATTAACCTATTTATTATTATGAATTTTTTAATAAAAGAAAACCAAATTTTTTGAGTAAAATACAGAAATTGTGCCAAGGTGTTTAAGTATTTATTTATTTATATAACAAAATATTTATTAATTGATATAAAAAAAGTTTTTATCTATAGTATTATTGCATGTGCAAAGAGTTTCAGTATTTGACTATCTATTTTTGTAAAAAAAAATATTTATTAATTAATATGCAAAGAGTTTTTATAAAAAAAAAAAAATGCCAATCAAACACTAAAATCTATCTAATAAAATTTAAGTTAATCTATTTATCTATTTATTATTATGAATTTTTTAATAAAAGAAAATCTAATTAGACTAGAATTATTAATATAAAAAATATTTATTAATTGATATATAAAATAAAACAATTTTTCTAAAACTCTGCCACAAATTAACTTTTATTATGAGTTTCTTAATAAAATTAAATCTAATTAAATAAGGATATATTTAAAGAAAATAAAATAATTTTTGTAAAACTCTATCACAAATCACAAATTTTATGTTTCAATAAAACTCTATTACAGTAGACAAAGATATAATATTTAAAGAGTTTCTATATAATTTTAACTCAAATTTTCTATTTA